CAAGCTTCAAACTCGAGATCAAACTGAACAATTTTGCTCATATCTCTGATTTTCAGAAAAACAAAAATATATTAAGGGAAGTTTGAATTCTTGTTTGTTTCGGAGAACACAAAACTCATCACCCGATGAGTTTACCAATGCTGAAGTTGGATCAACTGCGTGTGAAATATGACTTTAGCGTGGTTTTTTAGTCTATTAAGCAAGTTTATCACAACAATCAGGAATGACAGCATGCAAAAAATTACGTGGAGGATAGAAAAAGGTAATTTTTTTTATGTATGATTTGAATAAAGTACTAAACAGCATCCCTATTTTTGCACCCCCATTTTGCACTAGTACTAATAAAGTACTAAACAGCATCCCTATTTTTGCACCCCCATTTTGCACTAGTACTAATAAAGTACTAAACAGCATCCCTATTTTTGCACCCCCATTTTGCACTAAATCGCGCACTAATACGCAGAATGAGTGACAAAAATTAGTAACAGACGGATGCTTAGCAGCTATGGGCTAAGTGACCCGACACACTATGCACGCTTAGAAGCATTTTAAAAAATTGCTTTTAGCTTCTGTAAAATATTACAGCTTGTAATTTGTTTGCTTTTCAGAAAAATTATTACATATTTTTGCTGAACAATTTGACATGTTTGTGTAAAACAAATTTTTAATATCTTTTAATGGGGTTTCGTGCATCGTTGTCATTTTTTCTTAAAAAACATTTTATTGTTACAACTAATTGTTTGGCCTGTATTTAACCAAAATTTGATTGATATAATCCACACTTTTTCTTGAGAAATCATTGCACAAATAAGAAGCATCAATGTGTGCATTTTCATTATTTTTTGTTGAAATTTTCTATCAAATTTTTTGTATTGAGAAATATGACGGTATTCGCACTATTTTTAATAGAAGTCAATGCATGTAGTTCAAACTCTAATATAGGCAGTGTGGTTTCTTAAATTAATTTTTTTCAGGAAAATTTTAAAAATTTGTTCAACGTCAAACAAACTTTTTTTGCGGTGCGATTTCTCTTTCAATTCAAACATTTTTCTTTGATAAAAAAGATAAATTCCACTATCGAACTTCTAAGTTCGGAAGTGGATTTTTTTTATCAGGTTTCCTAGCGAATTTAAAAAAATTCTTGTGTGTCCAGTTTTCTCAAATTGGTTTAATTGTATCAAAAAAGTGTCAATTGAAATGTTTTCTGTTTTTTTTATTGAAATTAATCCAATTTGAGAAAAATGGACCAATATTTTAATTTATTAGTTCACTGGGATCTTAAAACAAAAATGCACATTCGAAATTAGGAGTTTTTTTGGGATCTTTACCTGTTCGATAATAGAGTTAGTAAATTTTTATTTTGCTGGCAAATCTGATACTTAAAATTGACCTTCGAAAAGCTTAAAGCTTCAACGCCATCTCTTCTTTAAACTTCTAAAAATCGTTTTTTTTTTCAGAAAAAAGGTCAGTTTTTCCAATTGTTTTGTCCATGTTTTGATAATGGTCTGTTAATTTTTCTTCACTGAAAAAACAATGATAGCTAACTTAGTTTTTATTTGACTCTTATCTTTTCACGTAGCTTCAAACTTTTTTGATTGGTAGTCGACAAAGCGTTGACGACAACCGCATCCAACGTTATGTTCAAATAGGTGATTGTTAGAGGTTAAATAGATTTTGTGACGTAAATAAATGATTGCAAATACCAATTTCAGATAGATATTAGAAAGACTTTTATTCGATTCTTATCGTGAAACTTTCCAATAGATTACAATACTTTTAACATGTATAAATTCTACAAAATTTTTTTTAAAGCATTTGTAATTTCTCACTTCGTCGAAAAATTATCACAACAAAAATATATTGCATGAATTATAAAATTGCTGTTCTGTATCAAGTTGGGTCAACTGCGTGTGAAATATAATTGTAGCGCGGTTTTTTAGTCTATTAAGCAAGTTTATCACAACAATCAGGAATGACAGCATGCAAAAAATTACGTGGAGATAGAAAAAGGTTTTTTTTGATGTATGATTTGAATAAAGTACTAAACAGCATCCCAATTGCCCCATTTTGCACTAGATCGCGCACTAATACGCAGAATGAGTGACAAAAATTAGTAACAGACGGATGCTTAGCAGCTATGGGCTAAGTGACCCGACACACTATGCACGCATAGAAGCATTTTAAAAAATTGCTTTTAGCTTCTGTAAAATATTACAGCTTGTAATTTGTTTGCTTTTCAGAAAAATTATTACATATTTTTGCTGAACAATTTGACATGTTTGTGTAAAACAAATGTTTAATTTCTTTTAATGGGGTTTCGTGCATCGTTGTCATTTTTTCTTAAAAAACATTTTATTGTTACAACTAATTGTTTGGCCTGTATTTAACCAAAATTTGATTGATATAATCCACACTTTTTCTTGAGAAATCATTGCACAAATAAGAAGCATCAATGTGTGCATTTTCATTATTTTTTGTTGAAATTTTCTATCAAATTTTTTTTGTATTGAAAAATATGACGGTATTCGCACTATTTTCAAAAGGAGTCAATGCATGTAATTCAAACTCTAATATAGGCAGTGTGGTTTCTTAAATTATTTTTTTTTCAGGAAAATTTTAAAAATTTGTTCAACGTCAAACATACTTTTTTGCGGTGCGATTTCTCATTTCTCTTTCAATTCAAACATTTTTCTTGGATAAAAAAGATAAATTCCACTATCGAACTTCTAAGTTCGAAAGTGGATTTTAATTATCAGGTTTCCTAGCGATTTAAAAAAATTTCTTGTGTGTCCAGTTTTCTCAAATTGGTTTAATTGTATCAAAAAAGTGTCAATTGAAATTTTTTCTGTTTTTTTTATTAAAATTAACCCAATTTGAGAAAAATGGACCAATTTTTTAATCTCTTCTTTAAAATTCTGAAAATCGGTTTTTTTTTCAGAAAAAAGGTCAATTTTTTCAATTGTGTTTCGTCCATGTTTTGATACTAGTCTGTTAATTTTTCTTCACTGAAAAAACATTGATAGCTAACTTAGTTTTTATTTGACTCATATCTTTTCACGTAGCTTCAAACTTTTTTGACTTTTTGATTGGTAATCGACAAAGCGTTGACGACAACCACATCCAACGTTATGTTCAAGTAAGTGATTGTTAGAGATTAAATAGATTTTGTGACATTAATAAATGATTGCAAATACCAATTTCAGATAGATATTAGGAAGACTTTTATTCGATTCTTATCGTGAAACTTTCCAATAGATTACAATACCTTTAAGATGTATAAATTCTACAAAAATTCTTTTAAAAGCTTTTGTAATTTCTCACTTCGCCGAAAAATTATCATATCAAAAATATTTTGCATGAATTATAAAATTGCTGTTCTGTACAAAATCTGATGTCTGGTCATCTTTCGGTTCATCTGAACAAAAAATGTACCACACAATAAAAGTTAGAGCGGTACCCTTGTAGTAACTGAAAGAGTACATTAAAAAATATATTTTATATATAATTTGATTTGAAAACAGCACAAAAATTTCGGATTTTCACATTGACCAACATTTGCAGGGTCGAATGGAAATTGAGCAAACAAAATGGATACTGACCGATTGAAATGGACTCAAACAAAAAAATGAAATAAAAAAAACCTATTTTCATTGTAATAATAATTCGATGGAGTAAACGATTCTAATTGATTAAAATTTTCAATAATTGAAAATATTTTGTTCTGCAAAAGAAGGAATATAATCGATCATTTGTCGGTTATCAAATATTTTTTCGCGTTTCTAGAACAACTGGCACTAAAATAATGATACTATTAATTCTTAACGCACTAAACTGGATGCAGATTTATTGTAATGTGTTTTTTTAGTCCTTAAATTTGTGTAGCAGAGCAAGTATTGTTTGAACTCAAGGGAAGGAAAAATTGGTTTCGAATCTGAATAGTTACTGTTTTCAATCGAAACGAAGCTCCGGTTCTTCTTTCCTTTTCTATTTCTAAAGCACATTTTCGAAAGTGCAAAATGAATAAATTGAATTTAACTACGGCCGAAGACGTCTAAGCTTCTTCCTATAACAGGGTCACCTTACTCTCACTCTTGTACTTTTTCAAACATACGTTAATTTAAACTTGGGTTGTTTATATTACTGCAAATTATTGCCAATTTATGTGCAAAATGTACAAAAGTTTGAAAAAACCGCATCACAAATCGATGAATGTACAAAACTTAAATACAAATATACATGCTTCAAAAATTTTACACAGCGGTGAAGCACCACTTGCGCACCCCTTGCGATACATAATTACATGCCAAAGTTCGAAAGATAATCTGGCTCTTACGAAAAAACAAATTATTAAATGAATTATGTCGAAGAAATCGTCGGCTAAAAACTGGGGAATTGTTTTTCAATTATTGTAAAACTCAATTACCAAAACATAGAAGATGCAGGTAACACAAATTATATTCATTTCTCTCTGATAACTCTTAGATGGAAAGGATACAAAAAAGTCAGGTTTCCGTCCAAAAAACCCAAAACTCACCTCGAGCCTTCTCTGAAAAACTTGGAACCAAACTAACTGCCTGCATGCAATCAAGTGCAATTTTATGTATATAAAAGAACCATCAATTGCTTGCTAAAACGAAGATTAAAATGAACGAAAACATTGAACATTGGAACTTTAAAAATGTTGAATACAAAAATTCAAACAAATACTCCAAAAAAGCTGAAAATATAGAAAATTTTGAAAGCCTATGAAAACAACCCAATTACATCAATCTTGGCAAGAATAAAGCTACTATGCATCGTAAGATAGCTGAATCACAAGAAAAAAGATCACAAATAAAAGTAAAGACGCCCGTTAGTAAAAAAAAACACGAAAATTCATAATTTTTGAAGCATTTGTACTAGCAACAATCGGAATCTTATATAACGTGCCTTCGAATTCGGCCGAAATCACTTAAGCCTACAAAAAAAATAATTTTACATCTGAAAACTTTTTTACCAGTAGATCCAGTAACGCATTAACTCTGGACACATTAACTAGAGCTGTTAAAAATGCAATGTGCAGAAAATGGAGATTATTTACGGAAAAAAAATCTAGTACCCGATTGCAATACCCTTGCTTATCGCAAGGGTAAATAAATTGGGTGATCTATAGCACGATTTTCGATTTACTTATATTCAGTTGATCCGCTCAATCAATTTTTGTAATGTTCTATTGATACTCTCTTCTTCTTCAATTGACGACTTTTTCGCAGCTTCAGCTAATTCCTTAAGAATGTCCACATTGCCGCCTGAAATTACTGCACCAATGTTCTGGCAGTCTTTCAATGAGTTCTCCAAATTTTCAGAGTCCATAAGAGCAGCTGCAGTTATTGCACCAGAAGGTTCGACCACCATCTTCATCTGAGTGAGGAAAAACTGGACTGCTTTGGATGTCAATTCGTCCGGAACCTGTATGACGCCATCGACATATTGGAAAATGATGCCGGCTGATTCCTCTGAGAGTGAAGGTTTCTGTCGCGAGAAAAATTCTCAAATAAACACAAACCAACACACCAACACTGTTTTTCAAAAAAAAAATGTTTTTTTTTGCACACTTTATTTACCAGTGTTCTGTTTGTTTACTTTTTAACCTTTAAGAAGAAGAACCGCAAACACAGTTTTTAGTGCTAAGCTTCTCGTGGCTGTTGCAAGTCTCTTAATTAGTCAAAGTGCATGGGTAATTTTTAGTTTAACTCGTAAGATCAGAAGTTTGTTTTTTATTACAAAGAAATAGTGCATTGGGAAATTTTGAATGACTTAATATCACCTGAAAACGAAGCAGAATGCGCTTTAGTGTAAAATACTCGTACTCTGACAATTAGTTTTTCCAAAATTAACTTTCGACCTCTTGTTTATCCCAATCATGGTTGCAATAAGCCAAAAACGTACAATGATTTTTGGTCGACCCCAAACTTAATATTTTGGCGATGAAACAAACTAAGCCCCTCAAAAACGGCCCTAAAATTTAATTTTTGGCCTTTTTATAAAACCAGTCAGTGCAAAAAGTTAGGGCAAAAGTGGGTCTACTTACTGATATGGAAGACTTGGAAAATGCATTTGGTCGACCTTCAATAGGCTACCAAAAAGTTTAGATCTACACCTGCGGAGCAGCTATCTGTACGGATAAGAAAAAACTAAAGCAATCTTCATGCTATGTTAAAACTACCAACTGGCATACTGACCCATTAGGAATGTCATACCGGTGCTATGAATAGATTTACTTTTGGTTTACAAATAGACACAGAAGTCTGATTTTATTTCAGAATTATTTATAAACTAAATCTCAAATGTGTTAGTATCTATGAGTTTCTGAATCTCAACCGATTGGAGCTCAGATCCGATCAGACTGCAGAAAGACATTTTGAATTCATTTGCGTTTTTAAAATCTCTTATTTTTCTCCACAGCTAACACTTGCCGTATTAGAAATTTAGTCTAGAACTTTTATTCTAGACTAATTTAGAAAAAAAAAATTAACTTATGGACAATAAGCTGTGCCATTAATTTAAATGGATTCGGATGAAATTACTCAAAACAATTATCGATTCCAATTACCGAACCAATTATCGGTTCTCAGTCGACACACGTGGAAATAACATGGCGTAGCTATCATGGTCAAAGAACCCACTAAAATACCACTAATCCAGCAAAAAAAAACTTTGCTAGTATTAATTGAACCAGTATTAAACATATCTACAAATCCACAAAATATTAACTTGAAAATACTGGCGAAAGTTATTATATTTTTTGGTAAAATCACGAAACGTTACCTTCGAGAGATATGAAGCATTCACAAGCAGACAAAGAAAAACAGAAACCATTGAGCATTACCACTGCAGATTAAACGACCTAGTGACCAGAGGAAACTTCAAATGCACACTGTGAATGGATAACGGACTAAAGTCCGAAATTATCAGAAATATATTCACCGCAAACATGACAAATGATGAGTTATAAAAAGAGGTTTAGTGATAAAAAAAGATGAGTAATAAAAACACAAAAAAAGGTTTATAAAACCAGCTCCAGATTTGCCAACAAGGATGAGCAAGTCGCTCAAACAAACCCTCATAAAAAGTCAGAACTCATGGAGTCGTAAAGAGAAGAGTGAACTTCAGACAAAACCAACGAGACAATCGCGAAAAAGAAATTTCACTAAAGGATGGAGCACACAGTAAAACACAGACTCTAAACCGCGGAGTGCGGTCTGTATTTAGACAACCGCGTATTCAAACACTGTATAAACCAATCAGAATCGAGACAAGGAAAAAAATGAACAATTCTGATTGGTTTATACAGTGTCTGAAAACGCGGTGGTCTCAATACTGCTACATAACCCTAAACCGTGTTGAAAATGCGGCTATCCTTTTGAGCCTGGGTACTGACAGCAACTTCCGGCAAAGGACAGACTCTGTAGCAAAAATACCGAAAGAGGCAATTTTTCTAGACTCTGAAAGCCATCGAAGTAAACGCAAATAACACACAACAATAGGACAGTCAGTTACAAGAAGACACAGACATGGCAGCATACGTGGAGTACTTACAAGCAGGATATACAGTGCTGATTTAAAACATCCGGACAAATGAACAAAAGTTGAATTTTCAAACGCATTTTGCTCCAATTGGGTTAAAATTAGACATAAGGTGAAGAACAAAAGTTGCTAAAAACTTCACCAGAATTAGTATGGTGCAATTTTTTTCCAAAATAACCAGCTAAAATTTCACCTCAAAAAAGGGTCACATGGGGTTTTTTATTTAATCAAAACTTACGCTGAAACTACTTGGTTAAGTGATGGGATAATTATATCACAAGAGATCTCTTACACAGTCCAACAACGTTCTAGAAAGGTTAAACCGCCAAAAATTTGCGCGAATTGTTTAAAATTTGTTTTTTTTTATCAAAGATTTTGGGTTTTATATAGTAAAAAACACATTTCTTGACTATCAAGCAAAAAAATTTTCTTTTATACTGGTTTTTGGATGTTTTGTTGGGCTGTGTAAGAGAACTAGTAGAACTTTGTTGGGCTGTGTAAGAGGCTTCTTGTGATATAATTATCCTATCAACTAACAAAATAGTTTCAGCGTAAGTTTTGATTAATTAAGAAAACCCCATATGACCCATTTTTGGGGTAAAATTTTGGCTGATAACTTTGGAGAAAAAATTGCACCATATGAATTCTGGTGAAACTCTAAGCAACTTTTGTTCTCTTCACTTTTTGTCTAATTCGACACAATTTGAGCAAAACGCATTTGAAAAGTCAAGTTTTGTTCATTTTGTCCCGATAGTTTAAATCAGCACTGTATCGTCCAACCGGATGACACAACCGCTAACTCAATACGGTAAACTAGCTAGTCTACGCAGAAAGTAACAGAAGAGGACAAATGAACAAAAGTTGAATTTTCAAACGCATTTTGCTCAAATTGGGTTAAAATTAGACATAAGAAGAAGAACAAAAGTTGCTAAAAACTTCACCAGAATTAGTATGGCTTAATTTTTTTCCGAAATAACCAGCTAAAATTTTACCCCAAAAAAGGTTCATATGGGGTTTTTTATTTAATCAAAACTTACGCTGAAACTACTCGGTTAATTGATGGGATAATTATATCACAAGAGGCCTCTTACACAGTCCAGCAACGTTCTAGAAAGGTTAAACCTCCAAACATTTGCGCGAATTGTTTAAAATTTGTTTTTTTTATCAAAGATTTTGGGTTTTATATAGTAAAAAACACATTTCTTGACTATCAAGCAAAAAATTTTTCTTTTATACTGGTTTTTGGAGGTTTTGTTGGGCTGTGTAAGAGGCTTCTTGTGATATAATTATCCTATCAACTAACAAAATAGTTTCAGCGTAAGTTTTGATTAATTAAGAAAACCCCATATGACCCATTTTTGGGGTAAAATTTTGGCTGATAACTTTGGAGAAAAAATTGCACCATATGAATTCTGGTGAAACTCTAAGCAACTTTTGTTCTCTTCACTTTTTGTCTAATTCGGCACAATTTGAGCAAAACGCATTTGAAAATTCAAGTTTTGTTCATTTTGTCCCGATAGTTTAAATCAGCACTGTATCGTCCAACCGGATGACACAACCACTAACTCAATACGGTAAACTAGCTAGTCTACGCAGAAAGTAACAGAAGAAGACCTGAAAAAGGTATAAAAAGACCCGAACAATATAAAAAAAAAGAATTGAGGCCTAGGTTTCTTTTTTGCGCAAAATCAAGTATCTCAAACTCAAAGAAAGGTCTTAGATCATCGAGTGTGGTATCATCTTAAAGCTATAATAATTTAACATAACTTCGACCACCTGAATCCGCTCATATTTCAACGCAACTTACAATCTCGGCGTCTCTTGATGCTTGATGCTCTAGTTACATAACATCAAAATATGTTGAGCCTACTATACTATTTCCGACTATTTTGCTAGAAGTTACTTATATAGTATCGGCAGCATTGCGTACCATAGTGGGATTTTGCAGCCCATTGCAGATGGAGGGGACATAGTACTCGGGCCACACTCTCTCCCTCATCTCCATCGACTTCTTCAGTCCGAATGGAGTGCAGTGCTCCACCCCGATCACTTTGATGTCAGGTCTTAACGCCTTCACAGCAGTGGCAATTCCTCTGAAACTCAGAACTTTAGCCTGTTTCTACAAAATGTATCGACCAAATGTTTCTTTAAATATATCAAACACTGGCCAGCTTTTTCTGAGACAAGTGTAGACGCTCGAAAAAAATTTTTCGGTTATTATTACCTACATGAAGTACAAAAATTTCAACTGAACCGAAGTTTCGTCGACCCTTTTAAAAAATTATCCTCCTTTTTTAAAGTTCAGCTGGGCGATCGATATGACTTTTCCGACCTGTACTTCTTCAATCTGTTTTAAAGAAAACTCTAAAAATAAGGGCGGCAGTGATAGACTTCCTCAAAATGCATCTGAAACTAAGGATAGCCGGTTGCTGTGCAAATAGCACAGAATGTTCCGACCCTATTCGAAGAAAAAAAATCTACTTTTTTCAAACTTTTTTATTATTATGAAGTTTTCAAAAGCTCCCAGCCCAGCTGCTCCCACCTTTCTTCTTTAGGCTGTTTTTCTTGTGGGCTACAGTGACCCTGCAACCGCGAAGGATGCGATATTCGAACCCACTACGTTTGAGTTAAAGGTCGCGCGTTTTACCCACTCAGCCACGGCTGCTCAGTGTTTTTTTTTCTTGAAAGTCGCGTGATGATAGAAACAAATGCACGCGTAAAAGTTTGCGAATTATGTCTTGACAACTTTAATTAATTTCAGAAATTAAATAAACCATAAAAGGGAGAAAAAAGATTCCAAAAATTTTTTTTCAAATTTTTGCACTTAAATTTTTTCGTATTTTGAAAGTTCTGTTTTGTCAATGAAGGACTAATTGAAGCTTGTGAAAGTAATTTTCGATTTAGTGAAATCAAGTTTTTAGTCTAAATAGCTAATTTTTATATATAACGAACGCTACTCGATCGCTTTACTCGCTCGAATTCGAATCAAAAATTTTAAAGTACTCAGGGCGCGAGGCACCGTCCATCAGGGCTCTTGGTGTTTCGTTATACGCACTCTGCTTTACATCCTCACAATGGCACCTTTTTAATGTCAAACCACTCTTCGAAACTAATCGCCCGTGCTACTAACTGTGCCCAGCACGTTACAATGGTTTTAACAAATAGAAAATTTTTTTACAATCGATCCACACGAACATTTGACGATATAACATTCCATGAAAAGTTGACTGAAGACTTGTTCCGCTCAAGCCCATGCTTGGACGCGAAACAACCTGATATTTTAGTGCAAATTCATTCTTTTATAAGACATTGCAGAAAATTGTTTTGGAATATATCAATAACTTCGATTCGATCAAAGTAGAAAAAAAGTGTAAAACAAATTTAAACTCACTCCTCTAGTATATTGGTTAATTGCATTACCATATCACTATCAGTTACTCGCAGTTAAGACACAGTTAATGGTAATGAAGAGAAGAGGAGATATAGTTGAAGTAAGGATACAAAATGATTTAAATGATGAAGGAAAAAATGGGAAACATTTATTTTCTTAACAACATAGCTAGGAGCCTAGAATTTATTTTTTTTTCGAAACAACTGATCAACTGAGTGATACCACTGAAAACTGCAGGTGTTTAATTTTTTTAGTTGAGGGGCTGTGAACTTTTTATTTCGAATCAAAATATGTTTGGTAATTATGAAGAAACCAAAAATTTTCAATCTCACGGATGGAGCTTTGAACTGCTCTACTCAGTGTGGGATTGCACGACAGATAAATTCGACCCACCGATCTGTCTGCTCAAACAAAATGTTAAAAAATTGAAATATTTCATTTCTATAGAACATTTTTTTTTAAATCAAATCATAATCCGTTCTCCTTTCAAGTCCCCGCTTTTCCTTGTAAAAAATTGGGATTTCTCTATAGGATGTGAATGGTTATTGAACTTTCAATTTTGTCTGCTTAATGACTTGGGAATCAAGTCGCAAAAAAAAGATCGAGGCAAAATAGCGTTAACTTTGCGAGATCAGTTTCATAAGCGCCAAATGCATAACGTTGAAATTCGCAGTAGCTCGTTGAATATGGAAAGAGCTCGATTGCTGCGCGCGCTCGTACTGAAGGGTGGCGGAAAAAAGCCGGCCACCCAGTTTTTCTCGACACTGGGACAACTTTTTGAAACTTGGTTATGTGCGTCAAATCACGAGTGAAAGGGCTCTAACATGATATATCACTCGGTCAGGTCCAATGTGGTACCTAATTTTGTATGGAAAACAAAACACAAAAAATAAAACACACCCGAATACGAAGTCACGCCATTTTCAATGATCGGAACAATGAAGATATGGCTTTCACCCATTCCAAAAAAGTATTGCTCAACCGTCACTTACGCTAGTAGCCCGCCACTTCCACATGGGACCAGAACAGCATCGAGATCTTTCACTTGCTTCATAAATTCCAATCCCACTGTAGCTTGACCACAGATTGAACTTTTCTCATTTGAAGAAGTTATGAAGTGAGCCTCAGATTCTGACTGTATTCGACTTAGTTCTGATTCCCTCGATTTGTCGCATGTGGCGTTATAGGTTGAACTAATGGCACCGTAGAATTCAGCTATTTTTCTCTTATACTTCAAGCATGGAGATGGCATCGCTACATAGCACAGCAAGTTGTGCGCAATAGCTGCATATGCTGAAAAACTTGAACAATTGAACTCATTTTCTTCGGGGACTCAATAGGTCCCGCATCAACTCGCAACAAAGACAACTAGCAATAATTGAAGAAAGCGATAACTCGCGAAGTTCTAAAATTAATTAATAACGTAAGAATTTTGGTTTAACGACGCCGGTGGGCACTAAACGGCTCTAATTTTTGTATTAAGTCCTACCCTCTGTTGACAAGCTTGCATCACGTTGTCGCGACTGCGGCGGTGAGTATATTGCAATTTGTTTTTTGTTGCGAATCGTCCCATTACGCTTTAATATTGATCCTTATATCACACCTTTATTAGACAAAAAAATAGATACAAGTGTCATTCGAAAATTAAACCGATAGTTTGGTAAGTGTCGCTATTTTCTGTGCAAGCGGCATTTGGCAAGCAGCCGAAGTTTTCTCCACTCCGCTTACATTTAGCACGAGTTCTAGGCGGGTCAACTATTGATATTATGCTACAAGTAATCTAGCATGCTTTGTTTATCTGATTCTTAATTGCTCTTGGATTAAATTTGGCTTGGACGGATTCTTCTGCATTTAAAACTGGACTGGTCATATCCAAGCAAAACCCGGAATGTTCAGTCTGCCCTTCAACATCTAGTTTTTGGTTTTATAACAACAATTGCAAATCGCACAGGGAAAAGAAAAATTACACAAAAAATGAGGAGAACAAAAGTTACTTAGAATTTAACCAGAGTTAGTATGGGGCATTTTTTCTGTTTTAATTTAATCAGGAATCAAGCGCTTTTTTTATTAGTCAGGAACTAAGCTGGAACTACCCAGTTAATTGATGAGCAAATTAAATCAAACGAAGCCTCTTACACAACCCAACAAAGTTCTAGGAAGGTTAAATCTCCAAAAAGCTGTATGGGACATTTAATGACTATTTTAGCTTGATAGTCAATAAATGTGATTTTTACTATATAAAACCTAAAATTCTTGCTGAAAAATATCTAGAAAAAATAAATTGTCAAAAATTTTGTTGCGCTGTGTACGACGCTTTTTTTATAATTTTCTCATCAATCAGCAGAGTATTTTCCGCATAATTCTTGATAAATGAAAAAAGCCATTGATTCTTGATTAAATAGAAACAGAAACAAGACTTCTCGTATCAGTGCGCAGCCCTGAAAGTTCAGACTGCCGTTTAAGGTCTATGGAGCAGTAATAACAAGAAAAAATTAATTGTAATAAAGTAAACGAAGTTTTCTTTTTTAAAATTTGAGACTTTTTGTGAAAATCATCCCCCCACAAGCCATATAAAGTACAGAATGATAGATTTCGCTCCTAGTAAGAAATCAATTATGGCAAATGAGCTTCCTTCAACCAATTTGGAACAATTTCCAGGACAGATCAAATCTCCGCTTACGCGTTAATAGCGCGAAAAATATCGCGCGTTAATTGTCCAAAGTTGGCCAAAATGGCAATCTTTCAACCCCCATAACTTTACGAAAAATAATCACAGTTGAAATATCTTTTCAAATTTAAGCTCAGGACAAAAAAAAGCCTTTTGAATGATACAAAAATTTCCGTCAAAAATGGCAAGTTAAAAAGTCGAAATTTGTCTGAAGAAAAAAAACACCCCGAGCACAAATATTCCTATACTTTTGTTACGATAGTTGGCACAAAAATTGCACCATATCAATTCTGATGACACTTTAAGCGTTTGTTTTTCTTTTCACGTTTTTGTCTAACTTTAAGTCAATTTGAGGGAAACGCGTTGGAAATTTCAAATTTTGTTCGTTTTGTCCGGTTAATTTAAATCAGCACTGTACTAATACTTCACAAAATCACAATGCAAAATCAAAGAAATCACAATTATTTCATCATTTTCTCCATAAAACAGAAAAAAAAAGCAACAAATGACGCAAAAAATTGAGCCGTACTCTTCTGGCGTTTTTAATTCACTCTTTCTCACTGAAAAAAAAAAATCAGTCTCTCGTTATTGTTTTACTTTTAGGCTGTCCGCTCGATTTTATCCTGACTTTTTACAATTACTGTGTCCATTTTCTAACCCTAATTGATTTTCATCTCAAAAAAACTGCAGTATGCTTTTCTGACTAATTTCATCGGGAAGTGAATAACAAGAACATTCTCAAAATTCACTTTAAATTTTTAGAGAAAAGTTTTATACATAGTATGGTTTTAGCAGAGTTCCAGTTTCATTTCAAACCCACTTAACTCCTGGGATCTCTTAAACGGTTCCCCCCTTTTTAACTCTAAACAACTTAACACCATACAATTTCACTCCTTACTTTTTGTTGCCTTAGCAATTTAACATCGCTACATTTTAAAACAATTTCTATAACTTAACATGTTTTAATCCAAAATGAAAAGAAAACTTACTTCAAAGGGGACTTCGGTAAATATCAAAGAATTAAACGAAAGAAAATTTTGCCATTTTAAGCCAGACCATTAAATTGTTTAGTAGTAAAATGACTAGGTGTTAAAATGTAAGGTGTTGAATTGTACGGTAATGACACCCTCTTAAACTATATCACCCCCCTTTTGCAAAAGGGGGGGGGGGGAGAGATTCATTATAAGGTAGGTATAAAATTTTGATATGCCCACCGTTGATTTACTTCTTTATAGGGGGATATTCTTTACTAGGTACCCGAGGGGGATACAGATAAAGAGATCCCACTCCTGCTACCCATGTCAACAGAAAAGAAATAAAAACTTTGAAAATAGTTGCTGGTGAGGGTGTAAAGTTTACTTACCTAAGCCAGCGCCGAAATTTCCACAGCTCCGCGTCACCACACTGGTTACCTCTGGATTAGTTTCTTTGAGTCTGATCACCGAATTGATAGCCCCTCTTACCTTGAAACTGCCAGTTTTCTGGAAATTTTCACACTTGAAGTGAACCGATTTGCTCTTAGTGAATAACTGCTGGAAATTTTCACTGGACACGACTGGTGTCTCTTGATGAACGGCCTAATTCTTTCCAGAGCGCTTTCGATGTCACAGATATCAATCATATTGGATCAGATTGACATTGAAACTTGATGGCATGAAAAAGAACCGAATCAATCTAAAAGAAATCTACTTGTACATCTTTTTGCAACCAATTATTATCAGCGAAAACCAATCGGCGGAGACAGATGACAGTAGAAAAAGTGTAGGAGTTTTTTTGCAATGCGTAATTCAACTTATCCAAAACAAAAACTGAATTAAACGTGGCACATCTTTTCAATCAGGGGCGGATTTAGGGGGGGGGGGGCGGGGGGGGGCGGACGCCCCCCCCCCCCTCAGGGATTCGACCCCCTGCCGACCCAAAGGGTCCCCCCTTTGATACTTTTTCAGAAATCCATTTTTGGCCGACCGACCCTAAAATTTTTCTAAAGGCGCCTTCGGCGCCAATATATACTAACTTTGAGGGGGAGCGCGCGCCAAAAAAAACGCGATTTTTTTGTCAACATTTTTCAAAAATTGCCCGAAAACGGCTTTTCTGACTGTTTTTTCAAAAATTTGCCTGCGGCGCAGAAAATTTAGCCAAAGTAGGGGCAAAACAGTGCTTTGGGAGAGCTCGAAAAATCAATTTGGTCGACCTAAAAAAAAAAAAAGGTCGTCAAAATTTTGGAAAATTTTTTGAAAATCCGCCCCCCCCCTCGAGAAAATCCTAGATCCGCCCCTGTTTTCAATGTTCAATTTTTATTTATTTTGTGAATAAAAAAAACGGAAAACGGATTTTAATCTCATGAAATTGGAGGGAGAAGGACTAATAGAACAGACTCGATGAAATATCTCAAGTCAAAATTTTGATTCCGTCTGGGAAATCTGGAAAATTCTGTCTACAAACGCAAACTTTCTTAAGGCCAAAAAAGGAGAAAAGACTCACCGTGGTTTTTGAGTAATACAACAAACAATACTCGGAACAGCAATAAGATATTTAAAAGAAGTTCTCAATTCAAAATCAATGTCTTATTACATACCTTTCACTTTAACCGCAAGTAATTATTCATCTAAACAACATGAACTGAATTTTGGACGTTTGCCTTTAAATCAAGAATGATTCAGAAAAAATAGTTTGAATTTATTATCTTGCTTCGAAAATGACGGTAAACCGGTCAGTGTGCTGAGTCAAAGGAGTACGAAACTATCGCATGCGAGTGATAAGAGCGTTTGTTGATGAAAACGACAGTTGCTAGTTAAAACCAGCTTTATTAGTTAATGCAGAACTGGCTCAATGATCCTTCAAGTGCACTCTTCGTGGTAATGAAAATAAATTTGCATCCTTCAACTGCCCACTTCGTGGTAATAAAACAAACATCCTTTTAAATAGTTGATACCATTTTCTGGATTTGTTGTTACTTGAAAAACGAATTCACTTTGTTTTAATTTCAAGAGGGCATAAAATCCACTCTAAACGTTTTAAACAATTACATTTTAGACTTCCACTTTAATGTCATGGAATCTCCGCACTACATAATCTCAAAAAGCCACAATTTTGAACCGTTTTTCTCGAGAACTCAAAGTTGTGGCATTACGGCTTTTGAAAAAAAATAACAAAGCTTCAATCAAGACTGAAGGGGTTTCTGACAGATCAGCCAATCCTTCTGCCGTTTATTTAAAGCACATAGTTTTAATTTATTGAAAACTCAAATCCATAGTTTCTCTCGTTGCATGGTCGGTCGGATCAGTAAGAATTTTAGAAGGATTTCAACTCCTCTGATGCCTCAAACTGACTGCTTTCCTAAGTGCTCACTGTTAGCTAGTTCAGATAATTCATGCCATCGTAAAAGTCTTAAGAATAATAAATTTTAATGAACATTGACTTGAGTCGATGCAAAACAATATTTCAAGTGACAATAACTTCGTTTAAAATAACATCATTTGCGTTCATAGGGATATCTTCAACTATTTGTTCGTGCAAAGCGAGTCCAATGGAGTAGAAGTTTTCAGAGTGTGAACAGTTATCGCGCAAATATCTGTCGTAGTATCCCCTCCCATGACCCAGTCTGGATCCATCGAGTCCGAAAGCGACACCAGGTACCAGCATCAAACAATTATCGCTTCCTGAAATATTTGGTAACCACTTAGGAATTCTCTCCAGTTTGCAATGCTTTCACTACTCACGGTCCTCTTTTCCTGTCTTACATTCGTGGTTCTCCGATAAAAAAACTCGTTTAACTCACCAATTAAAGCAGTTTGGCATGATTACAGAATATCTACTTTCAAATAAAAAAAGATATTCAGTTTCTGTAAAACCATTGTTTACATCATATTCACGTTGAAGAATTCCTTTAAAAAGTCAAATTTTAGGAAAAAAACTATCATCAAAAACGACATTCGTAGAAAAATTTTTGACGAGGCGGAACAAAAGCACGATTAAACATAATCGACACTTGTCTCCCGACAATCTAGCAACTGATTTTTTGAATGGAATTTCACCCGATGCCAAAATATTCTCCAGAGAAGTTCTCGAATCCAAATCATCCAGCGATGGTTCCTTGATTCCCCAGCTGTTTTCCCTCAATGACAGCCAATCCTCCTCGCTCTTGAGTTCAACCATCCGCATGAAAGATCTTCTTTCCGTTGAATCTAAAAATACAGTAACTTGCCTGCTTGGTACCATCAGAACGCAGTCGAAACATAGCAACAATGTTAAAATACGTAACACGACAACTCACAAAAACAGATAACTAATTTAACTAATCTGTTTAGATTCTACAAAAAACCAACAGACAGTTGGTAAAGTGTCAATGAACGCAAGGCAACAAAAATTTGTTTTTCAGCATTTAAATTTCTAAGAAAAAATATATGGCCTACAAAAAAAAACATAGTCAACAGACAATTGGAAAAGAAACCAGAAAAAAAACGAAAGACTTGTTTTTGAAAAAACTTCAACTTTCGAACTTCAAAAAAAAATAGATCACCTTAAAGCTCTTGAAACTTCTAGAACAGGTTTTGATCGACACATTTTTTGATAAAATGAACCAAATTGAGAAAACTGAATCAATAGATAAATTTTTTATTCCACTCAGAAATATAAAAACTAACGTCCGCTATCCAAACTAGAAGTCGTTCGAATTTTTCGCGTCATATCCAGTTTCCTTAGTGGAAAACGTAGTTTGCTTCTTTTTAGTCGATAAATTTGAAAATGAACTTTAAAAAAATCAGAAGTCAAAGCGCAGAAGGTTAAACTTGGTGAAAAAATTAACTAGACCCATTTAAGAGTCTTCACTGCGTTCATTGACACTCCAAAAACCTATAAAATTTTGGCAATTCAAAAAATTTTCAGGAGAAGTAGTTGTTTTTGATTTCCTTGAGTTCATACACTTTTCCAACTGTCTGTTGGCTATAAATTTCAAAAATTATTCGGCTGATAGTGTATTGGCTTAATTACGTCAGCTTATTTTTTATCACGTATTGGCTTCATATTGCTTTGTTTCATGACTGAAAAAGAGAACTTTTTTAATGTGAAAATTGTCTTTTCAGAGCAGATATTTTTAAAGTTTTATTATGAAAACTAAGTTTTTTTTTCGGCGCAACGGGTGCCTGCTCACGTGCTCTTAACTTTATCACCACTTCATAACTCTTGCTTTGATGCTAACGTAGCAATCATTTGTTTTACTAGGCATAACTTTCTCAAAATCAACTTTAACACAGAGGCGAAGCTGAGCTTCGCTACACTTACAATACAAGAAGTATAGGATTAAAACAGCAAAACACTCAAGAACTATCGAAGAGGACTTCGAAAGTTATATCCGTAGAATAAACAACAAGAAAAACAACCAAAAAATCAATTTTTTTTTCAAATTTACGAAAATTTTTCAGAGTGCCAAGTGGGGTTGAATTTGAGCTTTCGAAAATTTAAATTTGTGGCCAAAGTCTTAACAATATCATAAATAATATCGAAAAATTGTAGCAAACAAAATATTAAGTTAAAACGGCGACAAAGTTAAAGCCCACATCCAATTAGCTGAAAACCAACCAAAACCATTCCGCAAAATCTTATTGGAAAATATACATGTACTGCCAAAATAGTATCCACAAAAGCCATACAATTGCTAAAATCAAGGTGGTATATACAATTCGGGAACTAAACCGAGAGCTACATCGAAAGCCAAAAGATCATCATCAGCAAAAAAAAGTAATACCGATGTTTTAGAAAGCAAAATTAGCATTGGAACAAAACTTAATAACCGGTAACAAAACAAAAAAACATCAAGAGAAGCCTTTCTTGCCGAAAAAATTCATAAATATCTTAATAAAAAATTTGAGTGCCCCTTCCCCTCAGAATACACACGCACACAAAATTTTTCTCGGTCTTCAAACGATTCAATAAGGGACCACTAAGTAGATATAAAATAAGCCGAAACCCAATTCAATCGAAAAAAGAAGACAAAAAAAAACAAAATTTTAGCAAAAAACTTTATGTAAAAAGCAAATTTCGACTCTGCCGGATTTTCAAAATGCTAATGTACTTAAAGCACTAACAGTGAAATTTGTTTGCACCGAAAATAAACGATTTTTTTTAGATCTGCCAACTAAGCCGACAAAACATGAGCAGACAAACAATAGGCCGAAATTTTTTTGAACCGTAACTTTTACCGTTTGAAAAAGCAAACAGATCCTGGGCAATTTCGAAGGATCTTTGCCCCCCACCCCCCCCTCTCCCCCCCCCCCTCAGACGTATTTGTTACCTCTAGGCTAAGTTTGCAGGGTGGATGTACAACTTTTGATGAACATTATGAACTGAACTTAAATTTACCATTTCTAATTTTGACCATTCTGTGAACAAAATTATGTGAAAAAAGTCTAGAACCCGATTGGAAAACCGTTGCTTATCGCATGGGCAATTAAAGGACATTTTCAGACAAACACATGCAAACTTCTGAACGTTTTTTGGGCATTTAGTTTTTTCGTCCTTTTCTGTCGAATAGTTTTTATGATATGTTCGTGCTGTATCGCAAATGATGCTATGTTACGTTTCGCCTCAGTGTAAATTTCTTTAAGAAGGGTTGGGTGCGAAAAAGTTACTACGATCGAAGCAAGGAGTTTCAAACATTTCTATTACACATAGTTAAATTCAACAAAACATATAACGCTTATTATCATTCTGTTTTGTAAGCGTTTTCAAAATTACTTGTTCAAAATTAACCACCTGAGATTGAACGTTTGGTTATTACAATGAGCTCAACTTACTATTTTTTTTTCAAATTTGTGTTATATTGTGTTAAAAACCTCTTTCCAAAAAAACTACTGAAATTGGTCAACACTGGTGCAACAAAAAGAAATTTTCGGTAAATAATTATGTGGACTAAAAAAATTTACACGTTGCAGGAAGAATAAGCGGTATGAACAGCCTTTTATTTTTGTCCGTGTTTTCCTTTTTGGTTCGAAGAATCCACTTGATCAGACAAGTCGTGTCCAACTCTCGCCCTTTCATGCTGAGGTAAACCGAAACAATTGATGCTTCCGCAAACTTGGGATGTTGCAACACCTGAAATGAATTTGATCAAACTTCGAGCGCTTTTGTCTTTAATCAAAGACTAAATATTTGGTCAAAATTTTCTAAAACAACCGTTCTGGAATTTTTTTAAAATAACAATCAGAATTATGGAGAAATTTTGTTCTCCATACGACCTAAAAAAAATAAACGTCACACTCCATTCGACGCACAACATTATAAACATCAGTCGAAGCCATTAAAATTGCAAAAAGACCAAACTTATTTTTGATCCGAGTTGGCAAGTTTATACAGAGAGCCGAAGCTGCGCTTTGCAAAACTAGCGAGAAGACGCAAAGCAGCTCTAAAAAGTTCAACAAGAAAAATAGGAATAAGCCTCGAATTAGCAAAAATTTGGCTAGGGATAGGATTCGATCTGCGACCTACTGCAATCAAGAGATTTTGAGTTTCACACACTAACCACTCAGCCACGCACGCTTAACCACCGACAAACACTAGTCACAAATAATGCAGCTACAAATGCTAATAAATTGTCAATGCGATTCAGCAAAACTGACACCAAATACAAATAGACACAATTTTGCAAAAGATCTTTTGGAATATAAAAAACTGAAGGCATCCACCACACTAACTTTGCATGTAACAAATCGCAAAGCATAAAACCACATTATGTATAAATAAAATTAAAAATGCATCAACTGTGTTATTTTATTACTATTCGAATGTCAAAGCACATACTATCAAAAAGCTGTAAAGGTGCCCCAAAAGTGGCACTTATATTTGCGATTTAGTTAGAAAAAACAAACAAACTTCTTAATTATATACAAAGCTGACGCTAGTGTAAAAATAGTAAGAATTATAGTTTGAATTGCTAATATCAGAACGAATTTTTTATGTCAGAAAATTTCCATGCTTTGCAAACTAGGCATACAAAAATGAACAGAGAACCTTTTTTCGATTTTTTTCCAATAAACGAAAAATTCAAATTCAGACAGGCGAAGCGGAACTTTGCGCCGCTTGCGATACAACGCACGCTTAATTGAAAAAAAAACAATAAAAAATTGAATTCGGTTGAAAATATTCAATTTCACAGAAACAGCTTAGAAGCGAAACCACCAGCGATAGAAATCTTTCAGTACGATTATAGAGCATTCACTCAGCCGACAATACTTCGGAAGACACGCAAAGAGAACAGATGATATGCAATTTCCAAGTCTAGTCAAATTTCTAAATAAGTTAACACTTTAAATGAATACTTTTATTTGCGAAATGGGTTAGAAAAAAAAGAAAGTTTGTAAAAATACACTAAGCTGATCGCAAGTATAATAAGAAAAATCTCAAATTTTGCTGTGGCGGATTCAATCCTACGATCAGAGGAGTAAGATACTTCTGTCCTCGCATCTGCGCCACGGGCCCTTGTTAAATTACTAACCTTAGCTAAATTGCCAATTAGATACAGCAAAAGTGACACTAAATACAAATAGACATAATTTTGCATGTAATAATTTGGAAAATGGCAAACTCATAGTATCCAAACTAACTTTGCACTAAAATCTGTGACTTGTTTGGAATTACTAGTCTGGGAAGATCGCTTTGTAATAGCTCTGATCCATTTGATATAAAAGGTACAAGTTTGCAACGTTCCATTGATAGATGGATGAATGGATGGCTCAGATGTTCTGAATTAATGAACATCAAATGACATACAGCAGAACCCGACCAAAACTTAGAGCGTAAATCAATTCAATGTCGATTTCGTTACCTTAGGTAACATGCAGCACTCACCTTTTCGCAAACGCGCTCAGATTGGTAAGCCAAAGATTGTTCATCCAAAGAATGCAGAATAGCTCGTACGCTACTTCGAAGCTCTCTTTTTGCTAAAAGACTCATTGTGACAACCTATCTATTCAACTCATATCAAAATACCTTAAATAAAATAGATTGAAACTGCTATCAGGCGTACAAACTAGCTATCAGTTTTCAAACTCCATTTAGTTCTGCGGCTATGATGAGTAAAGTAAATAATGGCTACTTTTTTCCTAATTTGATAAAACTAAATAACGTTTACGCTTTTTCATCTGAGCAGAAAAATAATCAATTGCCTAGCTTTTTATTTTAAATAGCCCAATACTAATATCAGTTACAGTCGCGGGAAATAGAAGTGGCAACTTAAGTTTTCATCTGATGACATGAACAAAAACTTTTTTGACGTATCTGAGTTTTCTCTACAAATACAAGCGACTCATGGCGAGAGAAAATAGCCGGATGAAAAACCGTAAAAAGATGCGTTCAAGGCGCCAGAGAAGTGTTCTCAGTGACAAAAATCTCTGTAAACAAGTACAGCAGTTTGAAATTTTAGTCTTAAACGTATTCGTGCGAATAAGTTGCGTTCAAGTCGTCAGAGAAGTGTTCTCAGTGACAAAAAATCTCTACAATCTCTTTGTCCTAAAATATTCGTTGGAAAACTAAGGATCTAAGCTAGCTCTCATACAGGTTTCCCTTCAAATAATAAAGAACTAAACACTTCGTTAGGCTCTTAGACAGATGTTAACTGAAAAAAAGCTACTTTATTCAAAAAAAAATTGTAGCTATTCTTTTATTTATTGACACATGACGTGCACCTACGATACTTGGAATGGATTGTTAAACGTGGAAACAACTTCCTAAAATATTCACAAAAAACCAAAATTTACGTGGTCACTTTCGGTCATTTTTCAAGAAGAAAAGCAAATCCGCCAAACAACGGAATTTCATCAGATATTTGAAATTTTAACTCCGAACAGTAAATTTTAATTCCGAAATTTTAACTCCGAAACTTCAACTAAAATTCGAACAGTAAAAAATGAACTATTTATAGATACTTTTTTCAAAATTTAAAAATACAAACATCTATCTTTTGAACATGTATCAACAAACATGTATCTTTTGAAAAAGAAACCTTTAGCTCACTGAAAGCAAAAACTAAATTTGTCATTCTCGAAGATAAAATTCAAATGATCAAAAACAAGAAAACTTCCAAACCCTAAGAGTATCCTCAAAGCTCTCACCAAAAAAATTGAATTTTCAAGGTTTGTTAGTTTCTTTTAAACCTCAATTAGTTGAAAAAATTGAAAAAAAAAAATGATTGAAAAAGCCACATTTTGGAAATCAAAAGTTTTTGGGCAATCTTACTTTGAGGCTGGATTTGCAACTTCCCAGTGTACCCTGACAGCACCCCACCATAGGGTTAAGGATTTCAAGTTCTTTTACTTTTCTAAATCTAAAGTTGTTGAAAACAAAATATAAAAAATCATTAAAAAACGCTATATCTCAGAAATCAAAACGAATTAAGCAACAAAAACTGCATACGAAGTTTGCAATCCCAATATGTAACCCGACAATACCCTGCCGCAGGGTTGAGAATTATATGTTTTTTTTTTAAATCTGAAGTCTTTGAAAAAAAGACACAATCATAGAAAAACGCCACAGTTCAGAAACCAAAAGGATTTGAACAATATTATTTGAAGACCATCATATGACTTTCAAGCCCTGAGTCTACCCGGATAGAACACAACCGTAATGTTAATAATTTCAAGTTTTTTTAGGTTTTGTATTTCAAGATTTGGTAGGTTTCGGATAGCAGCACGTCACTGAAACCTGACAGCTTCCCACCATAGGTTGAGGAATTCAAGCTGTGCTACTTTTCAAAATCTAAAGCTTTTGAAAAAAAGGGAAAGAAAAAAACGCCATTCTCAGACACCAAAATGAACTGGGCAACACAAAATACCTGCGAATTTTGCAAACCCTGGGTGTACCCTGACAGCACCCTGCCATAAGGTTGAGAAACGTTTCTCTTTTAGTTTTTTTTTTAAATCTGAAGATTTTGAAAAAAAACAATCATAAAAGACGCCACATCTCAGAAACAAAAAGGATTAGATCAATATTATTTGAAGACCAGACTTTTAAACCCTGAGGATACTGTTAGAGTCTAGCCGGACAGAACAACGCCAGAGGCTTGAGAATTTTAGGTTTTGTTAGTTTTTGTACTTTTTAAAACTATTTAAAAAAAAAAACAATTGAAAAAGCCATAAAAAACGACATTTCTGAGAAAAGAAAAAATTGAACAGTCATATTTCAAGTCCTAATTTGAAATTGGTGAGTGTACCTTTAGAGCACCTCATCATCGTGTTGAGAATGCTAAGTGTATTTGGTTTGTTTATAATCGACTTAATCGAAAACGCAAAAAAAATCAAAAAATAACAAAATCGCTATATCTCCGAAGACAAAAGAACTTCAGCAGTCAAATTATGAGGTAAGATTTTTAAACCCAAAGTGAACCGTAATAACCACTTCAACCTCAGTTTTCAACAAAAAACCACAAAAGTAATTAAAAAACGCCATTAAAAAACATTATATCTCAAAAACTAAATATTAGAGCAGTCAAATTTGGAAGTCAGCTGTTAACCGATAAGCTTACCCTGACAGCACCCCATGGGGTTGAGAATTTCAAGATCTTTTAGTTTTTTACACCTAAGTTTTCGCAATAAAAAACTGAAAATCATAATTAACTCTAAATCTCGGAAACCAAAGGTTTTGACCAGTAATAATTAGAGGCCAGATTAGCAATCCCTGATTGAAACTTGACAGCACCCCATCATAGGGTTGAGACTTTCAAGTTTTATTATTTTTTTCCTATCTAATTTTAGAAAAAAAAACATAAAAAATCGGCATATCTGGAAAACCGAAAAGATGTGAGCAGTAATAATTTTAGGAGATTCGCTACCCCATAAGGATGAGACAGCAATCCACTATAAGTTCGGTTAATTTGTTCAATTTTTTTATGAAAAAAAATGAGAAGTCGCAAGAAAACGCCATATCTCGGAAAATCAATATGTTTGGTTAGAATTGTAGATTCCCTAGGAAGATTTAAAAGTTGAATTCAATAAATTATATTGAACGTTACTAGTTTATTATTTTAAAAAAATTCAAATTAAGGACTTCTTAAACATGCTTCAGGTGAAACTGGCCGTCATAAACTGATACATCGAAAAAAAAAGCATTGCATTATACGATATAGCTTAAAGGTCAATAGCGAAAATTGATTAAATTTAAGCAAAAAATTTCAGGAACCAAAAAAAATTTTTTTTGAGCAATAGCTTCATGTCCTTTGATTTCAAGGAATTTCATAGCGCAAAAAAACGTCTAAGTTTCTCTAAGCTAGTAATTCAAGTTCAGTTTCCATTTCATTCGAACAGCTCGTGTGAAAAAAATATCAAGCTCTCCAGCTAAGTCTTGGCTATTTTAGTTCGTTGAACAGAATCTAAGAAATTGTTTTAAAAGATTTCCAGAACCAAATCCTAAAATCTTCGTTCAATTCGAGAAAAATATATAAAACACATTTAAAAAACACACTCCTTAATTAATAAGGAAAATCGCGATAAATCCCGCAGATAAGAAAAAAGGCAGGCCTCGAAGTTGAATTGAGTTGCTATTGTCTGAAGCACTGACTTACAAACATATTCTAGAATATTCCAGATTCACAATTTTTACAGTTCCAGAATACTCTGGCCAAGCTTGGCTGATACCAATTTCTTGAACGTTGCGCTCGATAGTCATTCGCTTAAAAAAACATCATTCGTTTATTATGATAAATTACCAAGTTTGTTTCAAGTGATTTTGTTCAACTAATTGCCATTTTGAAAATATAACGCCTATATTCCGATTTGATATCGCTTGCTAGAACGTACCAGAAGCTATGCACCCAAAAAATTGACATCCATTTAAAAAAAAAGTCGCTACAAACAGAAACTATTGCTCTGTATAAAAACCAAAAACCTATAAACATCGTTTTCAGGCGGCTGCAGAAATTTCATTAAAAAATATCAAAAATCTAAATGAAATAAAGCTCCAGGGATGATATTCAAACGGCCAAAACCCAAAATCCTTTCAGGAAGCATAACTAGATGCAAAAAAACTAACATGATTGATTATGTCGAAGATCTCAGTAATCGTTTCCTTCTCTTTCTGAAAACTTGATACAATGAATAGTAACAAATTCGCTCAAAAAATTGTCAACTTTTGAATTTCTTCAGGAAACATTAACTTTACGCAATCTTGTCAATTATTAACACACATCCGTCTCAGAAATAAAAAATTAAACAAGACGCAAGCTCAAAGGTTTCAGTTTCCACTCACTTTACCTAGTTTGCAAGAAATCACAAGAAAAAGTCAAACTGATATCTGGCATTGCCACGTGAATTGGATAACGAACTTCGTTTCAAAATCTTGTTTCAATGAAGCTTTTTGTGTCAACGCTGAATCTTTGAATACAGCTGGCTGAATTTCGCTTGAAATTTTTGATTTCAATGATTTTACGTTCTATTCTTTTTCGTACTAAGTTAAATTATTTTACTGGCTTTTTATTGAGGTCATACACTCAGACTCAAATTATGCCCTCCCAAACTTGGCAAATCGTAAAATAAAAATCTTACAAGCACTAGATTATATGGGCTGCATTTTTATATGTCCTTTTTCAGATTATCCCCACGCCATATTAATTCGGACGCAATCAAAACCCTGCAAACGAATCAAACATTTCAACAATTTTGGATGCACAAACAAGCCAGATCGGAATAATGAAATTTTATCACTGAAAATTTCTGTTTTTTTTCCTGCAGCTTCTCTCTATAATTCCCAAGAAAGCGCAGTTGAGACTTTGGGAGCAGGTAACAATAATTGAGCGGAACACAAAAAATGCCGTACAAAATTGTAGTAATAAAAACATTTTGAGCAATTAAGTTTAAAAATTTGAGATCTTGCAAAACAAAGTACCTGTTTTTTTTTATAATTAATTACTTTTTGCATTTAAAGTGAAACAAAATAAAGTAACTAGGCGAATAAAACGTAAGCCGAAATCATTTAGGCCAAATAAAGCTTTTAAGTGAAATACTAAGGAAAAATACGATGTCAGGAATATCAAATTTAGAATTCACAAGAGTAAATGAAAAGCACTCGCATCTACGATGAAAACTCCTGGCAGCACAAGAAAATTCCCCGATTTGGCAATTCCACCCACAAAACATAAGCATACAATCGAAAGAACGACAATTCAATTTTTCCCGGAAAAAGATTCAATTTCTTACATACTGAAAAAAACATGGTCCGGCCGGGGTTCGACTCCATAGTTTGAGATGCGAAGGAAACTGCGTTACCCTCAGTCGAGAGGGGGAGAAATCTCCAAGTTGCTAAGGTTCACTACTAAATCAACTTCACAACTTCTTACAGATGTAAGAGAAGTTGTTTACGGGAAAGTTCCCGATAACAAGACACTTGCTCTCGCAAGTGCAAACACTTGTCCGTTGAGCAGATCTCAGAGAAGTATTTTGACAGAGGAAGCCCAATTCAATTTTTAAACGAAAGATTTGATTCTCTGATGAGCCTTTGATATATTTTATTGGAAAAAACGCCCAGCTTAAAAAAAACATGCATTGCAAAAACAAACAATTTTAACAACTGGTTCTATATATTTTCAGTAGTAATTTCGATCAAACCGTTACACTGTTAAAATACTAAATACACACAATAAATGAAAACTGCCAAAACTTAAATTTCACAGAAACACTTACTCTTCATTACGCTCACACATTTTTCGCTATAACTAAATCCATCAAAACTGTGCAATGAACAGAACGACAATTCAATATGATCGATTCGATATTTTCAGACTAAATAACAGAACATGAATGGATCAACCGTGCGGTCTCTTTACTCGAGTATAATCGCTGGTACAAGTAGTTCGATCCCTGAAAAAAAGCAAGTAAGCAAGATGGGTTACGCAATTTTGAGAAAATTTCGAAAACACAAGCCAACAATTTGTAAACCTGTTTTCGAACATTTTAAACACAAAAAAAAATCCTTCAGACCCATCCAAGTTTTAGGGACCCGACTATCATACTTGTGCCCAATCTTTAATTCCTACTGTAAAATCTTTCCCTATCCACGTATCAAATTTAAAATTTCTTTGGTATAAAAAGTGCATTTCATAATACCGCGCACTTAATTTTTTCCTCTATTTTTTCGATTCGATTTTGCTATTAATAAAACACAGAAACGAAATTGGGTGGTATGAGTAAAAAAAGCAAGAAGCTATAAAAAATTAAGGAAAGAAAACGCTCAAGAATTGAATTGCCAATCTGGATATAACAAGTCTAACATGCTCCTATCTCCGCTATGTGCGCTAAAATGGTTAAAAACTAGGAATCAATAAGTCGCATCGAATAAAGGCTGATGCCTTTATGTTACGAACTAAACTGCCTATGTTATGCAGCAAAAAAATACAAACTGAACACAGTTAACAAACAAAGTGAGCAAGTTTTTCCCTATCAAAAAGAACACGATTTTGTCCGAGTTGGATTGGAAAAAGGTTGACTCGTACTATAACAATGCATGCCTGCAAAATCAATTTAAATTGTCTTCAGAGTTAATTTCTGAAAACAAACACATTCAGCCTGAAAATTTTGCTGTGGAATTTGTACAGTTGATCCAAAAAGGGGGCAACAAAAACCTAATTGTGTGGTTTCGCTTTTTTGGAATCGTTGTCATCAATTTAAAATCAAATTCAAAATACATGTTTTCAAAGCAGATTTGCAGACCTATCAACTTGTGCAATTACTGGCACCAACTAAATTAAGCGTCAATATAAAACAATTTTAGTTAGCCGTTTTCCCAAAAACAATTCCGAACAAAATATTTTCTGCCTGAAGGGAATTGCGAGAAATTTGTACCGAATATCCAAAGTTTTACAAACCGGCGAAGCGTCGCTTTGCAAACACTTGCGAGAAAACGACAAAAAGCAGCTCTATAAAGTTCAATAATAAAAACTAGAAAAAAGCCTCGAATTAGCAAAAATTCGGTTACTTCTGAGATTCGAACCTGCGACCTAGAAACTAAGAGTCTCACACACTAACTACTCAGCCATGGAAGCTTGAAACACGCCAAACACTAGCCACAAAAAAGCAGAAAACAGATGCTGTGCAATTTCCAATGCTAGAGCGCAATTTCCAAATAAGTGAACACTTTTATTGGCGAGTTAGGTTAGAAATCAAAGAAGGTTCGTAATAACACATTAAGGTGATCGCAAGTGTAAAAACTAGTCTACACAGTTATTTCGCATTTTTTATAAGTACTATCATTAATTTACACTTAACCTCAAAATCATTTATTTAAAGTTTTGAAGCAGCTTTGCTGGCTAACCGAGCTAAGCTTTTGCAGTAGTTCTCAATAACTAAAATCAGAGAGACCGAATTGAAGTTTTTAGCAAGGCTTTTCCCAAAAAATCAGCTGCTATTAACAGATTTCACTCACTTCACGCGCGAAGATCTATTTTCATTTAAACATGAAACTATATCTTACCTTCATCATCAACAAAAAGTCCAATAAAATATTTATTTACAGTATATCAATTTCGATTGCTAGTAAATTTGCAATGATCGTTTATCCAGTCGAATTTAACACTTTTCTGTTCACATTCAGATTTTGCTTTCAGATAATCAGTTCTTCCCAGATCTATCCAGTACTTCAGTTTGCGTTGTGTCTTCGGATCATCGGAAAAACATTTCCCAGTATCTCTGAAGTACTGTCGTTCCTGTAGATATTCTTTCTTCGAAGCCAGCACGATTTGATCGTCGCTCGCATACAGAGTCAGACACTTGTTCATTTCTTTGAGCTGATTTCGACATTTTATCAGGTTAAACAAAGCTCCCTCTCTTTCTGAGCATTCGTCGAAGTCGATTATTTTAGGAGCACAAATATAATGAGCTCGCTGCCTGGCCTTTGTCAGAACATAGTAATCCTTTTCAACCTAAACAAACCACTCCATTTATAGGCAGATTCATTAAGCGCTAGATCTTCAAATGACTTCGGAGAAATCCCTCATAACAGAATGCTGTGTTAGCCAACCAGAGCTCATTATTCAAAATTCAAGAACAAACTGGAAATTTCGATCAAATTTTAAGCGATGTTGGATTTTGTAAAAAATTCCCCAAAGGTACCGAGTAATGAAAATCTACCCCTTTAATGAATGAATCAACCTATAGTCCCCTGGATTTTATGTACAATCCATCTTAAAATGAAAACAGTCGGGACAAAAAACACGTATGCTGAAGTGATCACTTTGATGTACTAACTTGCCTTAAATTGTCTTTCTCTGGTTCTCTAGTTCCAATGAAGAGATCTCTTTCAGGTCGAATGTATTTCACGAAAAATCTTCTGACAGGGCCAAATTCTTCTGGTATTTCAATCGTGTGTGGCTTACTAGACGTACTTTTAGTAGTATCATCAGGCATTCTGAAATCATCAGAGTGGCGATGTTATTCAAAAAAGCAACGCACTGAGATGGAGCTATGGCCTAGAGTGTTTATATTTCACCCAATTTTAGGTACTTTAAGGAAATAAGAATCGCAGATATGCTATCTATGAAATGCTACTAAGCCTGTTTACGGAACTTTTTTTCGTTTAGCACGTTCACGCGGTTTTATTATTAAAAAACCGGACACGCAATGGTAAGCCTCAGAAAGATGACGTGGGAACAGAGGCAGGGGATCGAAAACACGATTTGATGATCTCAAAGTGAACGCATTAACACTATGTGCTTCTCAATTAAGCTATCAAATTTTGTAGGAGGTCAAATTGTGGTGTCTTACTAAATCTCATTGGTCGTAATTAGGATTCCAAAAAGTAATTTCAAAAAATTTCCCTCGTGGAGAAAAACCGATCTGCATTTTGCGAAGAGTGAATGAAATTCTGTCATCATTTATTTGTTCTCCTCTTATTATAAATATTGCTCAACAATCTACTCTAATAGCTATTTGCATACTGCAGGCAAACGATCTCGGTTTTTTTTCTCGCTACTAATATTTTTTTCTCGAAAGAAACTCTTTTTTTTTGCAGCAATAACTGTGGTCGGAACATTATGTGCTGCTTGAACTGCTTCTTCTAACTACGGGACAGCCTTTGGTACAACTAAGCCGCTTGCGCCCACACTTATCCTAAGAGATTACTGGTGATCCTAAGAGAGATGCTTTAATAAACACGTCAAGATTTATCTAGGAACTGGTGAAAAAATAATTAATATGGCAAATCTAAATTAATTCATGATTTACACTGATAGAGTTTACTCTGAAAATATGGTACGGGTATCTCACTTGACCCTTATACGGAGTTTTCACTTTGGGATCTCTCCAGAACTCCTGCCAAAACTCCATGTGTGAAAATGTCTTCTCAATCAAGGTTGCTTCAACGTTGACTAAACCTCTCTTAAGTATCGGCATACCAACAAGCGTGAAATCTTTTCCGCCAGCCAATAATACTTTTTCAATTTTAATCCTATCGCCACATTTCGCCTCGCATTCTCCTTGATGCACAAAAACATCATCAGTTGTAACTTTAAATTGAGTTTTGTCTCCACCAAAAGAAATGACAGCAAAAAAACGTTGAGGATTTTTCACTTCTTGAACAACTTTTTCTATGACCTCTTCAGTAGACAAGTTTTGTTCACATAAACCAGGATGATTTTTCATATCTTCAACAATTTCTTGCCAACCCATGTACCGATGAGACATAAACTGTGAAATGGGATAGCTGTTGTTAGTTTCAATGTGACTTTTTAAGTTTTCGATATGCTTTTTCTTTCTTTCTGCAATGGGTTCCAACTTGGGACTTCGAATCGCTCTTATTTTGTCCATATCGGTCAATTTGGGTTCACCTGATCCGTAAAAGGGAGGAAATGTCAGCAATTGTCCCAGGTGATCAGGGCTTTTGATTTCTTTTGCTCTTTGCATCACTTTTGATTCCTTACTCCCTCGTTTCACACTCAATGTAAGAGTTTTTGAAAACCCTAATAGTAGATTTCGAGACATTTTGACAAAATCTACATCAAAATATTTCTGAAACACATGATGGAAACACTGTTTCACAGTTGCACGTTACAGTGGAACTTGAGCTTTTTAATCATATAATTGTTGATTATCTGCAGTTAGAAATTTAGGAACTCCGAATGTACTTATCAGGCATTAGACTAGAAACCTACTCAATCCTTTAGTTTTTATTAGCGGTTTTAGAGAAGAACATATAACTTCTTTGGTATAATCAATACTTCCTTTAATGATAAAGTTAGTGTTTTAGATCAATTTAAATTCATTTCAAGTACTAGTAAAAATTATCATGTCAGAACAAGTATCAGAGCACATCCAAAGAAACTCCCAATTGCACGCCTGGCTGAGCTCTGTCAGAAGGTTGAGTCGACATAGGAATGCAGTAATTCAACTCAATACTTGCATAGTTCAGAAACCTCCAATGGATTCCAGCTCCTATCGTGTATCTCGAACCAATGCCAAGTCTGTTCACAAAATCCGGCTCACTGAAATCGAATTTCTCAAACAAGTTTCCTGTATTAGCGAAAGCATGTAGCCAAAACTGGTCACCAAAGCTGCCTTTTCCAGGTCTGAAAGGCAGTCTTGTGAATATTGAGAGACCTGAAGACCAATATGTAGCACCGCCAAAAGCACAATTGTTCCTGTGAGGACCCAAACCTCCCATCATGAACCCTCTGACGCTTCCAGGTCCCCCAAGAAAGAATCTGTCAACTATTGACGGAGGCTTATCGTCATTTAAAGACATCACATGACCTGCATTTAGAGACAGAGAAACTTTAGCCCAACTTGTAAGATTCACAATTTTCTTCAACTTCGTTTCCAGCCTCAAGAAATTGTGATCTCCTCCAAGAACATTTCCAGCTAGTTCTACTTTATTTTGCATATTAAGTCCAGGAGCAATTGACGTGCTTCCGGCCCCCACTCTGGAACTATAGGCTAACGTGTACATCAGTGATGATATTAGAGAATGGCCCGAATCCATTCGTATATCGAAAGGCGTTTCCCACGAAGGACAATGGAAGTTTCGCCACATTCCCCCGTAACGTAATGTTGAGCACCATTTATTATGGGGCCTCGAAACTTCGGCAATAATTCCACAATTTCTCAAGTCGTAGTTACTGATGTAACTCGGTTCATACGCTTTGATTAGAGCAACTTTTAAGTTTGTGTTGAAGTCGTGACTAAGAAGTTTGGTCAGGTCTAGAGAGTAGGAGCCAATATTAGCCGTACTGCGCGAGTATCCGAAAGAAATTCCTTCGCCTCTGCCTAATACGTTGGCTAGTTTGAGCACTGTCTGGCCTGATAGTTCATTGGAACCAGCCATCATATTGATGCTTGCTTTGAGCATGTTAGATTCTTTGCAGTCTAGAACTAGATCGACACATTTCACATCTGGGAATAGCGGTTGTCTAAATAAAAACAGATGCATTTAGGTTTTAGATATTTCAGGGATATCACACAAAAATGAGCAATAACGAGTGAAACAGCAACAAAAATAGTATTAAGCTTTTTTAATGTCACGATAAATTTACGATTGTCAATTTTTCGTACAAAAAACAACTTGATACAATAGAAGTCTAGTCGCAAATGATTCAACGATATAGTCGCAAATGCTTTATTTAAAAAAAATTAATAACTCAATTGAATCAGTGGGTGACGTTACCTGTCGCTAGCGTCGACAGTTATCGCAACATCCTTGAACACTCCCACACTTTTTAACTTCTCTCTTAGAGTCACGCTACCTTCCGCTAAATCTTGCACATTTCTCGCTCTCAGAACGTCGTTGAACATCGATCGTCCATTAAAATGAGTCTTTTTCGTTCGTCTCAACCCATCTAAATGTACTTTCGCGACCCTGATGTTCTGACAACTGAGAGTATCTCCTAGGTTTTCACCGTCTGTGTTTTGTGAAATGCGGTCTATTGATGCGTTTACAAGTTGTCTCAAATCCTCGTCTGTTGCAGCACAGCCCTCAACAGACATTATTCTGAAAATATCGAAATTAAAACAAAATTATTTTGAAAATCGATGAGGAAAAAATTATGGCCTGAAAATGTCGTTTTTATAACGACACCTTCCTCAATGGTTTTTGCTCTTGTCAGCTGTGCTTGTTACACTGTTGCAAAAAAAACTTCTTAGACGACTTCAATGTTTGTTTAAGCTTAATACATTATCTTAATAAAGTGTAGGTTAATTTTGTTCAGAAACCTCTAATTTTGTTCAGAAACCTCCGAAATCAGGTTCCTCATAGAGAAATTGCAGGCCCTCGAGCGTTGTATCATATTAAACCCTTTTAGTTGCTACTCGGATTCAGTGTTGATAGAATTCGCACGAAGACAATTTGTTAGTGCGCATTTGGTTAGAAAATATGTCGTGGTTTCACAAGTAACAACTGAGGATGAAGAAATTTCAATGCAACTAAGGGTAAACGTACAAATACAAATTACTCTGGTACCGTGCACTGAATATGTGCGGAGCCTTAAGGATCAACTATTTCCTGCGTAAATGATACCGCTTTGGATAGTGATTTTTTGATTTCCATTTGTGGTAAAAAAAAGTTTGTTTTATCTTGCCAGTTTGACTCAAACTTGCACTCTGTTAGAGGATCGCTTGTTATCGCTTTTCAAGCTTCAGGACGGCTCGGCTCGTACATCAAATCGAAGGGTGCTTTCGCTATTTTCTGTTGAATTACTGGTGCCAGGTGCACAATAGCTGTGGATCTCGTGCAGCGCGATATAACACTACCGATCAGTAAAAACGCTATGCAAAAACCAAAGTGACTCATCGCTGCTCTCAATCTTCGGTTAACTATTAATTCTAGACAAGTCCCAGACGGACACAAATATATAATAACTGCAAAACATGCTTATATCGAGAACTTTCATGGGAGTCCATCTTTACAGTCTAATTTGCCAAGACCTTCAGAATGCTGGAAACCGACCGTATATGCCTAAAAGAGCAAACGTCGATAAGGTGAAGGTTAAAACGTGATGAGACATGCCATTGTTTAATTATCCAAAAATTCATTCGTTAACATTAAAAAATTGCGGTAAAAAAGCCCACGAAGTTAGTGATGCCATGACTAAATGAGAATCAACAAAACTATTTAAAAACATAACCCCAAAATTTAAAAAATGAAAAAGCAAAAATTTATTGTTAAAAATACATTTTTGTAACAAATGTATGGGTCTTATTCACTAAACGGCCCAAAATCAATTTTTCTACATCGTAAGCTGGAAATTATGCGATCAAATTTGATTGGGTAATTTTTGCCAATCAAATTCAAGTTACACGGTCAGGCATTCCGATCAACTTTTCTAGCAGATAAAAATATTAGCCGAAATTGCCGAAAAGGTGGAACTTTGAGTCAAATTATCAAATTAATTTTGAGTCACTTGTGAAACCTTGCCCAGACAAGCAAAATACAGTAAAATGGCTTGACAAAACAAAATACAATTTTCTTTATCATTTCGGCTAATAATTTTATCTGCTTGAAATTTCAATTGAAATGGCAGAAAATGTCGATAGAACTAGATTGGCTAATTAGCCAATCAAATTCATCCACAATAATTTCAGTTCAAGAGATATAGAAATAATGAAATTGGGCCGTTTAGTGCATAAGACCCAAACGTATTAGTAAAACATGTATTGTTAAAAACGGTTAAATAGCAGTATTTAGACAACCGCGTATTCAGACTCGTCAGTATTTAGACAAATACTGCTTCAACTAATCAGAATCGAGACAAAGAAGAAATTAATAAATAATTATTATTTATTTTGGATTATTTATGTCTTTTCTCGATTCTGATTGGTTCATACAGTATTTGTCTAAATACTGACGAGTATGAATACGCGGTTGTCTAAATACAGGCTGCACTCCGTTAAAAACAAGTTTAAAGCACGTTTATTACAGCGTTTAAAACAACGTTAAAATGAGCGCTTACAACAACTTCCCCTGATTGGCTGATTTTCTTATGTGCTTTGGCTAACTGACTGTATTACTGTATTGTATTTGGGTGCTTTGACTAACTTAACTGAACGGTTTAAGGTTGCCGGTGGGCGCGCTACGCGCGCGTCGCCGCTTTGCGGCGATAACCTGCTCTAAATTTCGTATAGAGTCCTACCCTTTGGTGGCAAGCTCGCAACACGTTGGGGCGGCTGCGGCGGTCACTATTTGAGTTTATGCAGCTTGAGTTTATGCTGATTGAACAGTAAACAATCAATCCATAAATTCGTTGGCTCAAATTTCAACCAATCAGAATTCAAGATAAATTTTGGAACTTATGCGACTGATTTTTTTATTTTAGAACTTATGAATATTGGAACCTATGGGAATTCACCTTTCCTATTAGTTTAATGATGCTTCAAGCAATTACTACTGGCCGGAAACGTGATGCTATCTGGAGCGATTTCACGCAATTGCAAGACGACCGGGCAAAATGCAATCATTGCAACAAAGAGATGGCTGGCTAGATGACAAGAATCAAGAAATTTTGCAACGAAGAGCATAAAGAGATGGCTGCACCACAACATACTAATTCTAAGCAGCAGAAGCAAAGCAGCATGGAGGGTCACATTTCAAAAACCACTCCAGAACAAACAAAAGCTTGATGAGCTATCGAACGCTACTTTTACTCATCCAACACGCCATTTCGAGATGCTGAGAACCAGGAGTTTCAGAACATGATTCAAGCAATGGATATCCAGTAAATTTTCCTCCAAATCCGGCCAAATTGAAAGGTACTTGCATGATTCTGTTTATTCCGATCTTCAAAAAACATGCGCGGAAAAATTCAAAAGAGACTGACTCTCTCTGTCGATTGGAGCAATCGTAACAATGAGTTCATAGTGGGATTTTGTAAGCAAGAGTTTGAAAATTCGTATATTGTTCTTATCAAAGATATTAGCAACAACAGTCATACTTCCGAATTTTTGTGCGATGTAGTTATTGAGGGAATAGACAAAATTCAAAAGACTTTGTGTGTGATATTGCGATTGGTGACAAACAACGCAGAGAACATGAACAAAATTTATGATTGGAACCGAAACCATCGCTTATTTCTTACGAATGCGCCGCTCACCAACTGAACCTACTGGCTCACGATTTTCAACCGGACAAATTAATCAAAAAAATTGTTGCAGTCGCGAAGTTTTTCGCAAAAAACAGCTGGCTAGCAATTGGATCTCAAGGGAAAATATGAAAAATCAGCCTTTGCTAAGTGAGATTAGATGGAGCAGTTGTACTAAGCTGTTGGATTCTTACTTGCAAACTTGGAATTTTTAGAAACAATACCCAGAAAGTCAATCTGAAAGATTCAAGAAAGTGCCTGGTTCTGAAAGCCCTTTTCAGAAGCTCTGGATGTCATGCAATCGCACAAAAGCACAGTTGCTGATGCGGTTTTTGCATGGTAGAAAAGCTTGACGGATTTCATGAACAAGGTATCGAACGACGGGAAGGGCTAAAAAATGCCGAGAAGCGGTATAATATATCTTCTATTCCGGATTCTTGGTTGGCTGCGTACTTATTGTGTCCGACTTTTTTACTGAAAGTGAAATGAAAAGAGCTATCAACTGGATTAAACTGCGGCACCCAGAACTGAGCAGCACAATAGTGAACTTCATCGGGGAGGAACTTCCCAGGTTGAAAACGGAGTTTCAAGAATACTCCGATAAAAAGTTGAACTTTCTCAAATTCTATATTCAAACCGGAAATATTTCGAAAGGACTAGGGGAGGTAGCAATAAATATGGAAATCTCTCGCCCAGCTCAGCAGGACTTGAGAGAAAGTTCAGCACAATGGAGTTCGTCCAGGATGATCTACGAAATCGGCTTGGAGTTGGAAAACTCACTTTTATCAGGCGCACGCTTGGCAGTATTTGATTGTTTAAGTTAGCTGATGTTTTTCTTGTTTAAAACATTTTAAACGTTTTTTTTACTCGGACTGTGTTTTTTTTGCAACCGTGCAAAAAAATAAAACGAAAAAGCAAACTAATCTTTCAAAAAGATAGCCAACAAACGAATGGAAAAGCGTCAATTTATGATTGACATTTTTTTGATCGAATTAACCCAATTTGAGAAAACAGGATCAATAGATAAAATTTTATTCCGCTGGGAAACCTGGAAATTAAATTCGACTTTCGAAACTACAAGTCGATCACGTTTTTCCTGAACTTTTAACAAAAGAAATGGACTTGAAAAGAAGTCAAGCCGCGAAAAATGAACAAAAAAATCATCACATCCCAGATAGAGTCTTCTCTACGTTCATTGACTCAATAAAAAACCTTTCATCTGCTGGAATAGATTAGCAGACAGAGATGACCAGTCCGACATCTTCCCATCTCCACCATGTGCCGTTGTTATAAGCTTATAAGCTAACACTAGCCACCAATTAAGTGGGCACATTAAGTTGCGTTCGAAAAAAAAACAGTGAATTAGTAATATAAAAGTATGCTCGATGGTGTAAACACGTATTAGATATACTACACTATCTCCATCATTCAGACCTCGTAGGTGGAAAAAGACCGCTGAGACAATCAGAAAATTATTGTGATTTCTGATTCTACGGGATCTTCTATTTGCGCCCGATTGCAAAAACCCTCTGAGCTAGGAGATCAGAACAATTATCATTTTGCGATATTAAAAGCGGTCAGCCGCTATTAACGCCGAGTCAGAGAAACATTTTAATTATTCAACTATATTTGATAAAGCTAAATATACATATCAGGCAATGAATAAAATTGAATATATGAATCTCAAATAATTTAAATCGATCGAAAAATCTCTTTCTAACGTACGCGATTACATTTGAATTTACCGGAGTTAAAAGCTTGAATGGGTATATTCATGTATTCCGCCCAAATTCGTATTCAAAAAAGATTTCCGACTCTGATTGATTCAAATTGAATAAATTTTAAAACCAAGTTTGATCAACTCTTCTAATTAAATTATGCGTTTCTGGTCGAAAAGTAATGGGCATTATGAGTAAAAAGACCCGCGTAAATAAACAACTACATTTCATCGCAGTTCATCGGCAGAGAACATCTTCATGGCCCGCTGGAGAATGCTGTCGTTGGTTGGATCGTAGGGCTTGTCTTTAGATGGGATTTCAACGACTGCCGGAGTCTGTCTGTCATTCGCATCTAGCAGGTGTCTGATCTCATCTGCAATCGTCTGCAACAAGGGTAAACAATAGATTTTTGAGCTATTTTGAACATCTTCAATGAGATATAAAAACAATAAAAATAGACTAAATTATATTTTAATTAATTTGTCTTGCACAAAACTCATTTACTTAGAAAAACGAGCCGAATAAGACAATTATAAACTAAAACTGCATCGGGAGGCAACTAAGCCGTTTAGGTATAAACCGAAAAAAAACTTACAGCGATTCGTAGTTTGTAAAATTGAAACCAACATTGCAACAAATATTGAATAGAACGGGTTTTGACAATGCAGACATGTTCAAAACATGTCTGTTGGTTGACAAAAGCTCAGATTTTGATAAAATGGTTCATTGCTTCTGCTGGATAAGTTGTTTAAAAAACAAAGTTTTTGTTTCAAACTGATAATGCTAGATAATGGCAAGCATAAAAATGGCGGGCGTAATTACTACGCGCATAATAATCGATAAAGCAAAACGTCCGAAAACTATATATATATAAAAAGACTAAATTTCCTTAAAATTCCGTAATTCAAAAAAAATGTTACAAAATTAAAATACCAGAAGAAAGCCGAATCTACAAAGTCCGTGAACGGGGAAAAAGCCGACAAAAATAAACAGACAGATGATAGTCCCAAACAGCAGAAAATTTCTATTTTGCAATAACAAAAGGTCCCGGCCATATTCAAACAACAAACATTTGTGTCAAGCAGGTGTATTAACTCAACTTGTGATGCGCTGAATGGTTGATTGAAATTGAAGTAGCAAGTTTTAATGTGATCAGAAAGCCAAGAATATTGGCGTGTTTTCAACTGAATTTCGTGGCTTGAAATTTTCGCCAAAAAATTGATCCTTCGAATCAAACTATTGAAGCAACAGAAAATTTTCTTGTGTAGCTTGCAAAGTATTGGAAACATTAGCTTTTTGAAGCAAACTATCATGCAATGGAACATTTCAGGTAGTTTTGATTGGTTTGCAACAATTAAGGTTCGAAAACTTACAGCAGGTTCTGAACGAGCTATAAACACAGAGGCGGAGCTGCATTTCGCCAAGACTTGTGAGAACACGATCAAAAAGCAGCTCTATCAAGTGACATAAGAAAAAGTAGAAATAAGCCTCGAATAAGCAAAAACTCGGCTCGTGTCGGATTCGGATACGCGACCTAACAAATTTGGGTCTCACGCACTAACAACTCAGCCACGTGCTTAAAATCCCCAAACACTAGCCACCAATAACGCAGCTACATATGCTAATAAACTGCCAATTCGATTCAGTAAAAGCGGCACCAATTACAAAAGACACAATTTTGCAGGTAATAAATCGCGAAGCATAAAAAGCCACATTATGTATAAATTATGCATTTCAAAAAATTCTGAAATTGAGTTTTTATGATTGTTATGTTGTTTGAAACAAATAGTTTTTTTTTCGGTTCATTTGATGAACTAAAAATGCATCAACTAAGCGACCTTAATACTTTTCGAATGTCAAAGCACATGCTATCAATAAGCTGTAAAGGTGCCCCAAAAGTGGCACCAATAGGTTGGACTTAGGTTGGAAAAAAAAAGAAGTTCGTACTAAAACACTTTGCTTCGCAAGTGTAAATAAAGGTTTCTGAAGCAAGCTATATTTTGTATCTAAAATATTTCAAATTGTGGCTTGAATGGAAACGTAAAAGTTCAGTTCGCCAATAACCAAATTAGATTTTTGCAGCGAGCTATTACGCTATGAAACTTTGATAAAACAACCATTTGTTTTGGTTGCTTGATTCTTTTGCAGAAAATAATGATGTTTTCTCGAAGTAAGCTATTCAATCGATGGAAACTTGAAACAAGTTAATTTACTTTAGCAGCTCTCGTAGGTTCAAAAAAATCATTGAAATTTTGCATAGAGACTAATCAAATTAAGAAATTTTGAACCAATTCAGTTTTTTTAAGGCTTCAATTGATTCGATTAAAGTTACAGACAAGCGATCACGCCATAAAAATGAAGCATTTTGATTAAATTGGGTTAAATTGGCATTGGATTAGGTCGGCAGATTTCCAAAAAAAATGATGGTTTGATTTGCTTCGCGCAAAAATTCGTGTCAATCTTTTCCAGAGAAAATTATTTTAGTATCTTGAATTGAGTAATCTTGAAAATTAAAAGTTTTAAAAGCATGCTATTTGAGCGAGAGTTTATTTTAAAAAGACTTCAATTTTTGATAGCTTGCATTGGTTTTGTAATCGTTGAGGTTTGTGAAGCCAGCTGTTCACCTAATGAATAACTGAAACTTCAACAAGCTCTCTTCAAAGAGGCGAAGCTGAGCTTCGCGCCAATTGCGATACAAAGCACGAAATTCGAAAAAATTCAAAAATTCCGAGCTAGATCTATCAATAATGCTAGGTTCGAAACAACAACGAGTCAAGACAATAGAAAATGAAACAAGCATCGAAACAAAAGTTGTCACGCGGTAACAAGGCCGGAAATACCTTAGCACACACTCATTAGGTCGAAAAAAAACTTTAAAAAATTATCAAGTCCCCCACACCTAAAAAAACAAACACACACAAACTTTATTCACGCGTCAAATGACAAAACATGCGGCCACGATGCCGATATAATATTGGCCGAAATCTATTCAGCCGAAAAAAAAAGAAATAGAAAAAAACAAAGCCAAAAACAAAATTTTTTTACTACTAAAAAATTATCAAGTCCCCTAACCCTCAAAACAAATAAACATCTCGTGAAACGATGCAATATGTGGCGACTAAGCCGATGTAATATAAGCTAAAATCCATCAAGCCGGAAAAAAAAGGAAAAAACAAAAAAAGGAAAATTTTTTACGACTTATCCCCCCCTCGCCCTCAAATCACAGACACGCACGCAAACTTTTTTCGCCCATCGAAAGGAGCCAAAGGCAGCCATTAAACCGATATAATATGGGGAGAAACTTATCAAGCCGAAAAAAAAGAAAAAACCAAAAGCCAAAAAATAATTGGTGTCATGAAAAACTCGAACTCCAATTTCTATTAAGATTTCAGCATTTTGTGCGATCCAGAGGTGAACCTAAAAACCATGTGTCTCTTGAAACCACTCAAAATTAGTCTACTAAGCCTATATAAAACAGGCCCGAGCTTAACAAATCGAGTTGGAAAAATCGCAACCAACGTAAAAAGCAATGGATATTGAAAACAACAAACTCAACAACCACGCCTAATATTTTCAACCGCGAGGAGTCGGATTGGCAAAAAGGACGAAGAGAAGAGGATTTGCAAAAAGGATTTGTGGAAGTTAAATAAGGAAAAAGTCTAGTACCCGATTGCAAAACCCATGCTATCGCAAGGGTAAAGACAAAACAGAAACAGTTTAGGTTATTCTCATATCTTGAAATGATTAATCAGAAGTTAAGAGCAGGTGAAATTCGGTTTTCACGCCGTGCAAATTTGAAAAATTTCAAAATATTTCGATAGTTTCAATTGGTTTGTAAAATGTAAGAACTTTTTGAAGCGATCTATTCTAGCGCTAGAACTTTGAATCAATTCAGTTTGTTTTGAAGATATGAAATGATTCCTGAAGATTTGAAACGATTCATTGAGATGATTCGTTAAATTATGGTTTAATATCTTGAACTGATCCTCAAAAGAAAAGGTTCTAAAGCAAGCTATCGAGCAAAAATTTTTTGAAAGATTTCAACTCGTTCCGATGGCTCGTAAAAGTTCACAAAAAGATGAAGTTTTTGAAGCAAGTCATCAAACAAGGAAAATTTGATGCATTTCTATTGGCCTTAATGCCTTGAATCGGTTTAAAAAACTCAAAGTTATTCAGCAAGGAAAGTTTGGAGTATTTCAAATTAATTCGATGATTTTCATTGGTTCGCGATATGTAAACGTTTTTGAAGCCTGCTTTTCTAGCGCTGAGACTTCGAATCAATTTAAAATGTTTAGATGACTGGATAACGCAAACACTGAAAGTTTCTGAAGCAAGATAACATGCCCTAAACCTGAAGCTTTTCATTTTATTTGATTAAATTAGTGCCTAACTCTTGAATTTTGTCAAAGAGCAGATACACAATCGAAAAACTTATTTATATCTATTTTAGACAACTTGGGCTGATTTTCAGAAGTTAGTTTTTTGTCACAGGCTTTTCAATAAGATCCTTTGAAAGAAGTTTTTAATACAAGCTATCAACCAGATAAATTTTGAGCTGTTTAAATGCCTCAGACAAGTTGCGAAAAATTCAGGTCTTTGAAGCAAGCAGTCACATCACAAAACTGTAATGGATTTCTTCTTGATTCAACCTCTTGAAATGTTTCGAAAAGTAAATCTTTTAGTAAGCTCTCAAGCGATGCAACTTTGGAAAATTTCATCATATTTTGATCACTTGACGCTTTCCATTTTTTACATTTGCATTTGTTTTGATAGCTTGACTTAGTTCGCGAAATTTTCAAGCTTTTTTTCAAGCAAGCGTTGAACCGATAAACCTTTGAAACTTCTTAATTGCTTTTGGAAACTGTTGTGATCGTCGAGCATAGGGCTCTAACTTATCATAGCCCCCCTCGTACCGAACAAGATAGAAGGGGCTCCTGCTAAAAAAAATTAAAGAGAAAGGGGCCCCTCAAATCACTTAATATAGCCAATCGAAGATTGGAAAAGAGTAATGAAATCAAGCCTAAAAAACACTGAAATTGTTGGAAAAATCTCAACTTTCGAATTTCTAAGAAAAAATAGATGCCTTTTAAACTCTTTGAATTTCTAGAAAGATTTATGATTGGCGCTTTCTGACAACATTAACCCAACTTGAGAAAACTGGATCAACAGGAAAATTTTTATTCCGCTGGAAATCTAAAAATTAAATTCCTCTTTCGAAACTAAAAATCGTTCACGCTATTTCAACGTTCGTAATTGGAGAGTTCTCTTTACGTCACTTTCAGCAGATTAATTTCAATTGAACTCAAAAAGTGCATATATACCTAAGAGCATTCATAAATTCAACAATAGTTTGAATGCACATCTGTAGTTATTAGAGCATTTTAAGATTTTTTCCTAAAAAATCACCGAGACCTATATAAAAGTCTTCACTACGTTCTATTTTTTTGAAGAGTAACAATTTGCTGTCTTTGCTTTTACTTATTGCATGGTTCATTGGAAATCAACGAAGCAAAAAAAAAGACTAATTTTGAGGACTTCTAGATTGAGGACCATATTTCCCGCCTCCTTGCCTTGTAGTAAAAAAAACTAAATGCTGGATTTCTGACATAGAGGGGTCCCACATTGACCTTGGGTGTATGTTGTTTCTTACGTATTATTATTCTCTGAACATTTTTTGTTCTCAACTACATGGATATTTCATCACAGCAAGGTCATCATTGGTGACTTTTCATTCATATCTGTGTAAGCAGGAAAGCGGGGGTAGGGGAAGGAAGTGCAGATTAAGGGTTAGGGTAATGTGCGAGGAGGGCAAGGGGGAAGTATGAGGAGTGGAGTTAGTTTTTGAGTTCAATAGTTATTTGCTGCAGTCTCGGATCAGAAAGATTTTTAAAACTATTTGTAGCTCAGTGATTTTTTTCATTGTAAACCAGGTACATTTGCAGTTCTGTAAATCAGTTTAACTTCCACAAATAATCTTTTGACTTGAAAACTGCCCACAAAGGAGTCTCAAAACTTCTCAAACAATCCTCCAAACGAGAACCGAGTACTGAATGCATTTGAGAACATGTGCTCCGCCGAACAGGTGCTCTTTCTATTCTGAGGGCCAACATATCTCAAAATGAAATGAGCTCGCTAGGCTTTACCAAGAGTTTCAGGCAAGAGGAAGCATGTCTTGATTTTGCTACAAAGAAATTCTTGAGAACTTCAAAGTACATAAACAGGATTTGGCATGGTAACATACCGCCATGATAGCCTTCGTCAAAATGAATGCCAAACCAGACAACTGGCTTGGTTGACACTGATGGACAAGGACGACCAATACGTCAAACTAGGTTCAAAGAAGTCGACATGCCACAAATTTACTCTTGAGAAGCAGATTGTAGCTAACATGGCGAAGAGAAGGAAAGCAAAATTAGCGACACACTGTAAACTTCAATTGGTAATTATCAAGATACAAACAATTGAAGAACTGTTGGTATTCTGGTTATTGATGTGATAATGAGTTTTAACGCATTTCTTCTGTTAAGCGAGACCGGATGATAATATGGCAGGCAACAAAGGCATCCCCGCCATTGCAATACCCATCCACAACTTGTGATTCTGTTGCCGTGATATCTCCTAACTTTGAACGACAGTTAGTGAATGACGTAATGCTTCCTTGCCCCTATCAACAGTTGACTAAAAAAAAAAATCTTAGCCTTGATCAAGAATTGACGAATCGAGTGATATCTCCTAGCCTTGATCAATATTTGAAGAATGACGTGATGGCTACCATTCTTGATCAACCAACAGTTGACGAATTAAGCGATGCTTTCTAGCATTGATTGATAATTGACTAATAATGCCATTTATGAGCCGTTGTGCCAGCAGAATCCTTTGCAAGTGAATGCTGATGGTATGAATGATGAAAACGAGCCGGACTATTGTTCAATGTTTAAAAAAGCGAGCAAGAGGGGGGCTCATAGGGTTCGCTTGCAATGTCGAGAGCTTTTTATTGCTCCGACGAGGCAAGAACGCGCGATTTAAGAGGTCAGTGAGAAGTAGGCGTGCCACAGACGCGTTGGATTTTAAAACCGATAGAACATAAATATTTTCTCCAATGCTTTTGTTAAAATAGTGTCAAAGGTGTATTAAAGGTGTGTGTGTGTGTGCGTGTGTGTGTTAACAATTGTAGTTAACTTGTCACTTTAGGTCAAAACATGGCTCCAAAAGTCAACTTTCTTACTTCTGGTTTGTTTCGAGAGTGTTTATATCACAGAGATTACAAATGTTTGATCACAGTGACTTTTGATTTACAAAGATTGGGAAAATGTAGTTGCTTCGGCAACATACTCCCGGGGCCCCGAATTGTCTGGAACGGCGCAAAAGGCGTTGCAAAAAAAATCAAAAAACCTTAACAAGAGCGGTAGCGGGGCGGTTGAGAGTGCCGTAAGCCGTTCTCACGGTCACCACTCGTGTTGTGCCATCTCTTCCTGGATGTTCCTCCACCACACGTCCAATCGGCCAAATACCTCGCGGCGTGAGGTCTTTGAGTACCCACACTATGTCTCCAACCTTCAATGGTGGTTGCATTTCGTTCCACTTGGGGCGTTTCATTAGTGAAGGTAGGTACTCCTTCTTCAACCGCTTCCACAGGTGGTTCATCATCTGTTGAACGTGGGTCCATTTAGTGTAGGTTAATGGCATGCTGTCGTCGAATACTCCTGGTGGAAGGCTGCTGAAAGGTCGTTGAATGAGAAAGTGATTTGGTGTCAGTGGCTCGTCATTTTCTGGGTAATCAGTTACAATTGTCAAGGGTCTCGAATTCAGAATCATCTCGGTTTCCGTTAAAATTGTCTGAAAAACATCAAGTGTGAGTTTTCGCGATCCAAGAATGATAATGATTGTTCTCTTGGCAATCTGAATCAAGCGTTCCCAAGCGCCACCGAAATGAGGGCCATATGGCGGGTTGAAGAACCACTGGATGTTTTGCCGTTGTAGCTTGAAAGAGCAGGCTCTATTGTCAACCATTTTTATGGCGTCTTTTAGTTCTTTAGAGGCTCCAACAAACGTTTTTCCGTTATCACTGGTGAGCGTTTTTGGAGTTCCCCGTCTAGCTGTAATTCGACCAACTGCATTCATAAGTGAATCAGTGTTCAGATTTGGACAGTTTTCGAAATGAACAGCTCTAGTTGCAAAACAAGTAAAAATTATTCCGTAATGTTTCTCAATATCTGTTTTGTTTTGAATATAGAAGGGGCCAAAAAAGTCTACTCCAGCATTAGTGAACGGGAAAAGATGATTTTCGTCGGGATATCGCTTCAGTGGTAATGGTGCCATGATTGGCTGGAGGTTGTCTCCTTTGTATCGTCGAAGAAACAATGATGAGCGATTGAACGAAGATCTTGTCGTATCCCAATGATGTGGTAGCGCTGCTGCACGAAAGATTTGACGAACTCTTGTCCTTGATGCATGCAAATTTGGTGTGCAAGCTGTAGATAGAGTTTAACTGTTGGATGAGTTGCTAATAGAATCAGCGGGTGACGTGATTCAAGCTCCATTGTTGGGGCAAATTCGAGCCTGCTGCGCGAACGAAGCATATGCTTTTGGTCAAGGTATGGATTGAATTTAATCAGTTTACCAAACCAAATTATTTGCTGAAATTTTCCCGAAAATTCCAAAAAAGGGGGGATTGTATTCTTTCTTTACTATATAAAAAAACTCTGTGATCTGTAAGGCTGTACGAAAGTTGATGAGATCGGCTTTTTTGCTCGCCAAAACATGTAGTTGACTTGTCACTTTAGGTCAAAACACGGCTCCATAAGTCAACTTTCTTAGTTCTGGTTTGTTTCGAGAGTGTTTATATCACAGAGATTACAAATGTTTGATCACAGTGACTTTTGATTTACAAAGATTGGGAAAATGTAGTTGCTTCGGCAACAACAATATTGCCTTTCGTTGTGTTTTTGACTTCAATTAATGTAATGCAGAGTTAAGTTTGAATTGAATCATCAGTTGATACCATTTTTAATCTCCTATCGGGTTTTTAGCATGAACAAACCCAACAATCTTTGAACCTTTGAATTGGAATATGAGTACATACCCTATCTATCTTTTTTGCCTTTCTTTTTGAAATTAAACATTTAAAATTTCAAAATGAATAATCGGTTTATTATCCAGTTTTTTGTCTTTAATTTTGATTTCAACTTTAATAAAGGGTATGCCGACTTGTAAGTTTGAATTGAATCATCAGCTGATACCACTTTTGACTTCTTTTTGACTTTTAGTTTCTAAGATATTCATGCCTTTCGCTTAAACATTGTCCCAAACGGCTTTTGTTAACTATTGTCTCCTATATAAACAGCTTAAACATTGCGTTTATAGAGCATTTGGCGTTGCGTTTAAATAATATATAGATTTATTATAAGTTGAAACACGTGTAGCATTTTCAGGTGCGAAAGTCTAGAACCCGATTGCAACACCCTCGCTTATCGCAAGGGTAAACGAATTCGTTGAATTGAATCTACTTAAAAGGCAACCTGGTTTATGACGACCACAGCTATATTGTCGTCGTTCATGAACTTGGAGAAGCACTCTTCAATCGCACTTTTGGGGGTCTCTGCGTCTACTACGAAAAAGTTGCTCTTGCCCTTGTTCGTCTCCCCCACTCCAGCTAGCAAGAAACCAGTGCATGTGTTCTCATCCCCAATCACTGCTATCAATTTACCCCTCATTATAATTGATAGGCACAATAAAGCCAAACAATAATCTGAAATATATCCTCTTGCTGGATTTTTACACTGACACTTTTACCGTTCCTTCCTCAACGATTTTGACCTTATGAAACTAAGTCAGCTAGAGCAATTATTGAAAAAGTGAAGATTTATTGTGAAATAATCTGATCAGTAATTAGACTTATAATTAAATGAATCAGAGCAAATTTATCAACAAAAATTTTTTTTTTTTGAAAAATTTATTTCAAATAGCAAAACAACAACTGAAGCATGAAACCATGATAGCACCGGGAGTGAAAGAGTGCACCATATGGGAAATCTATCAGATAAAAAGGCCGGATGTTGGCAATGACATGATAAGAAATTCGCAGAAAGTAAGATACAAGGTGACAGAGAATTAGAGGATCATAAAAACTTCATCGAGGTCCCTGTGGGCAGGGTTACCTGTGATATCCACCTTGTCATAATTTGGGCTAATAAAAAATCACCAAGAACAAAGCCAGTAGACAGTTGGAAAAGAGTCAATGAACAAAAGGCAACAGAAGAGAAAAACTGTCTTTGAATTTCAAGAACAACTTCTGATTGACACTTTTTCGATGAAAGTATCCCAATTTGAGAATCTGGATCAATCGATAAATAACCCAATTTGAAGAAACTGGATCAATAGATAATTTTTTAAGCAGCTGGTAAATCTGGAAATTTGAATCGACTTGAAGTCGATCACGTGTTTCGTGACCTTTACACTTTTGCTTTTCCAGGAAATGAACTGAACTTAAAAAAAATCAAAATTCAAACCGAGAAAAACTGAAATTGAGCCTGAACAGATTTTTAAAAAAATTCCTGAAAAAAATTGAGACTTATATTAGAGTCTTCACTACGTTCATCAATTCTAAATTATAAAGAAAAAATTACTCAAAAAGCTTCAACTGATGATCTGAATGTGTTTGATTATCTCAAAAAACCAGCAGTGTTGAAAATTTACTAATAAACCACTACTACGCCAACCGAGGACTTCATAAACGTAACTGCTTGCATAACGAACATTAGCAGAAAAGAAAATTCGAAATATTAACTTCGAAATAAAAAGGCTCAAATAGGAAACAAGTAGCCTTCTACTATAGCTCCACTTTTGTCAGAAGAAACATTCACAAGAGCCCTATCATAGCTATAACGACCACGATAAAACTCTAAATAATTAAAGAATTTTGAAGACTAGCACAGCAAACGTTCGTAATGCGACAACTCGCAATACACTCACCGCCGCAGTCACGTCAACAAGTTGCGACCTTGCCAACAGAGGGTAGAATTTTACACGCAATTTAGAGCCGGTTATCGCCGCGAAGCGGTGACGCGCGCCTAACGCGCCCACCGGCGACCTTAAGCCGAGAATATAAAGTTTCCAATTACTGAGCTTCAAAAACTTGCGAGTTGTCGCTTCCCTTACAAAAACTTGCGAGTTGTGTAGATCTTACTGATCGGAAAAGCTATAATTCAAAATTGCAATGGCGGACGATTTAGTGCTCGGGTCACATGCTTGGATCGTAAAAACAGGCAGCAATGAATGCGCTCGAAGAAGGCGGATATTACTTCCGACGTTTGCAATGCAAAAAGTATGCATTGAAGTGGGCAAGTTGTATTGGAATAAGTGGTACCGCTACACATCACAGGCTTCGTTTGTGTTAAATGAAAAAATATCCTGCAACTGCTACAACAAAGCCGAGTGCAAAAAACTAACACTCGAAAAACTGAAATAAAAGGTACGCCGACAAATCGTCACAGGTGCTCTCGGTAGTATTTTGCCTGTTGAAAGGATCATCTAAATTTGAGTTTGTTGGCGTAGCACCACTCTGTGATTATTGAACAGCTTTAGTACTTAATTTTGTTCAAAAAAAGATGACAAATCGTTGCAATTAGAAATGTAAAACAACGAGTCGAGAAGCAATTCAAAACATAGCCAACAGACAGTTAGAAAAGACTCAATGAATGCAAGGCAATAAAAAACTGACTTGTTAAATCTCAATTATCAAATTTCAAGCATTGTGAAGTGCAAGAACAATTTCAAATTGACACTTTTTCGATAAAAATATCCCAATTTGAGAAAACTGGATCAAAGGATACATTATTCAATCCAGAGAAAAAACCCCGAAAAATCGAACTTGTGCCTGAACAAATTTTAAGACTTCCTATATAGCGACCTTCGCGACCAATATAATACTCTTCACTTCGTTCATCGACTCAATAAACAAACAATCACTCAAAAAGCTTCAACTGATTATTTGAATGTTTGCTTGATTATGTCAAAAAAAACCCGCAGTTTCAAAAATTATTTAAAAAAAACTACTAGGCCACAGAGGACTTGATAAACGCAACCGCTTGCATAACAAACAAAGTCAGACAAAATATTTGAAATACAAAGCCTCAAGTTGGACAAAATGGCCTCCTATAATAGCTCCGCTGGTAGAAATGAAACATTTACAAGAGCTCTATTATTTACAAACATTTACAAGATTCTTACAACGACCAAGATACAAGCCTAAATATTTACAGAGTATAGAAGATTAGCTCAGCCAACGTCAAATTCTGTTTGTTATTTATTTGATGCTGAAAAAAAATTACCCAGATTGCAAAAAAAAATCAGATTCAAAAGAAAGGCGAAATTTGAATAGCGAACGATTTTAAGCGGTCACATTCCTGGATCATAAAAGCAGGCAGCAATTAATGCTCTTGAGATAAGCGGATACAATTTAAGCCGCTGACATAATGTACCAAGGATATCCCTTTTCTGTCCAAGAAGTTCCGACCATTCTTTACAAAAATTTAAAAAGCAGTTTTTTTTTCAAATAGAAGTCTTTTTTTTTGTGCGTGTTGAGATGAGACAACTAATTGAAAGCCTAGATAATTAGTGCACTAGGTATGATCGACAACAGTTGTCTACAAAACATATAGTCATTAAACATTTGGAAAGGAAATCAGAAAAAGTAGACTGTCGAAACAAGAAGTCGATCACGTTTTTCGTGACCTATACACTTATGCTCTTCGATAGTTGAGTTTGCCTTGCTTTTAAAAAAAGGAAAGGATGTGAACTTGAAAAAAAAACAAAAATGAAACCGCAAAAACCAAGTTTAGCCTAAACTTTTACACAGAGGCCGAGTTGCACTTCGCATACGCAAGCAAAAATATGACCGATCACGATACTGGAAAAAACTGAATGAGATGCACGCCAAAAAGAGTCTTCATGATTGCTAAGTGACGCAAGCCAACTATGACGCATTAGCAGTCAATTTGAAAAAAAAAACCAACTACATGCCTCAATTTATAGAGCGAACGCATTTTAACTAGTATACGAAAAATTTCATTGAAAACATCTGACCCCTCTTGTTTTCTTGCGGATCTACTTCCCTACCCCTACGCTACAGATCCATGATACCGTGAAGCTAAAATGCTATTTGTAATATAATAGTCCGAGTTAATATCCTTAGCATTGGCTGTACTTAATAGCTGGTTATTGATCTCATGCACATACTGCATTTAAAGAACTTTCAAAATGAACACTGATATTTGCGACTTAGCTTGGAAAAAAAGAGTGTTAATACTATCACACAAGCTTTGTCTGTGTAAAGACTTTCCCAACGAAAAAAAATGAAAGAATAATCGCGACCTATATTAGAGTATTTAGCGATTCTTAAAACACAAACAAAAAATAAAACTCGAAAATTCAAATTTTTGCTGAATAATTTATTTAGAAATTTTTTTATTGCAAAGGAAGCGCTTCTAGGAGACAAACTTGGTTTTTCACTATTTAAACGAAACATTTTCTTTCTTAAGACCTACTCGCTCGCATTTTTTCATCGCTCGAAATTAGACTAAAATTTTACACCAGTTTTTCAAAGTTGATCAAATCACGACTGAAACGGCTTTAAAATGATATATTCATCAGCTCATTCGGATGATGATTTGTGGTAACCGCTTTTGGTTAAAAAAGAAAAAGCTAAATCGCTCACTTCATTCGCTCGAAATTAGAGCAAACATCAAAAATTTCACACCAAATTTTGTCGTCACTTGAAAAACTTTTCAAATTTTCTAATCAGGTTCGAATTACGACTGAAAGGACTTTACGATGATATAATATTCGATTTAAGCCGATGATTGCTTGTGTTACTAGATTATGCGTAGAAAAAAACAAACACACTTTCAATGGTCGGAACAAAATTTTTGAATTGCAGCGTGCATATTGTATGAGTGACTTTTTTTGAAAAAATTTAAATTTTTGGCATTAAAGTTCTTTGAATTTCTAGAACAATTTAAGGTAAAGCTTCTTTGATAAAATTTACCCAATTTGGGAAAACTGGATCGATAGGTAAAACTTTTAAAACTCTGGGATATCTGAGAACTAAAATCCACGTTCGAAACTAGAAGTCGATCACGGTTTCCGTGACTTTTAAACTTTTGCAGTTTGATACTGGAATTTGCCTTCATTTTAACAAAGTAAACGAAGTGAATTTGAAAGGAATCCAAAGTCGAAGCGCGAAAAATCAAATTTGAGCCTGAACAAATTTTAAGACTTGGCCTAGAAAAAAATCATAAGAGTATCAACTTTTTATACGAGTCTTCACTACATTCATCGACTCTTAAAAAGTAGCTCTGCAAACGCTACAAAAGCGATTTGACACTTAGCATATGCGCAAAAAAAAACGTTGTAAATGAACTCGAAAAACTCAAATAAAATCTGACAAACCTTTGCAGGTGCTAGTAAAACTTTGACCTGGTGACAGCATTATCCAATTTTCAGTTTGTTGACGCACCACCACTCTGCTTCTCGGACAGCTACAGAACTTGTTTTTGTCAAATAAACATGGCAAAAAAATCATTGCAATCAGAAAGAAACATTTTGTCGAGAAGCAATTCAAATTATACTCCAGTTGACACGTGAGGCGACAACTCACCGCAAGCAATCATTGGTCAAAGGAGCCAATTGTTACAGAACTTCACAGCGACATTTCAGAACTGCTAAAAACTCACGGGTTAAATGCTGCTAGTGAGCAAATGCTGCTTTCAAGCTTAAAAAACGTAGCCTCGTGCGCTTTATATCTTTGTTGTCAGAAACATATATCAAAAATGTAAATTCAAATGAGAAAGTTCAAATAACTTGGTTGCAGAATTAAATTGTACAAACATATCTAGATCACCGGAATAGAAAAGACTATAAATCGGCAATGAATACTTGTCGTCTGGCCACATCTGTTAGATTCCATTCCGAAGACAGGAAGTCCAGTGAAGTCTGATAAGAACTGGCTCGACTGAGGGAGTAAAAGGCGGTATCTGGAACAAAATCATAAAATAGCCAATAGACATGAAACCAAGAAAACTAAAAAAAAATGGTCGAATCTTTCATTATTCTTTAATAACGTTGATTGGCCAAAAAGTAGCCCTAAGACTGCTTAAGAAACTTCCCAAGAGCTTTTCACACTTATTTAATCCGACCTTTTAAAAAATGCCAACCTGGAAAACATCGAACTACACCGTTTCGAAATATTTGCTTCCAACGTCAAAAAAAATATTTGCTTTCAGGGCTCTGGGAGCAAATACTTGCTGAAAAATTCACAGGCTGATGCAAAAATGGTCATAATCTCAAATTCACTGATACTTCTTCATGACCTTACCAATTGACTCAATCGAGAGTGTGAAGTTGCTATTGAGCGTCTTCTGGTCATCATCATCTTCCCCATCACTGTCTATATGTTTGAACCCACTGTTTAAGTTCCCCTCATCTTCATCATCTCTGGCTCCACTGTTCTGTTTATTCATCTTTTCTGACTCCTTTTGGCTACTAGTCAGCTGATCAGATTCCTCTCGTATCGCCTCCAAAGTTGAGGCTACGTTTTTACTAAGTATCTCTTCTTCCAAGTCGTAATCAATTATACCTACAATTTAACTAGTTTTATGTTATAAACTCGCTAACCAAGGGTTAAATTTACAATTACACTCAAGCTAACCAAAGGAACGTTATCTCTCCTTAAATAAAACGACGAAGTATGCAGTACCTGAACATGCATTTTTTGAATTCCAATTGACTGAAAAAGTATGTAGCACGATCTCCCGCAAAAAAAGAGCTGACACATGTATTATGTAACTCGACTTTTTGGTAGTCCCCAGAAAAACAGTTTGCAGTGTCGGTTGAGAGAATGTCTCTCACAGCTGAAAATTCAACAAACAAAAGAAACCGATTTTGTTCGGAGCTTGACTGCCCTCTCCTCAGGAATAAACTAACTGAAGACCACTTTGGTTTCGGCTGTCGAAAAGTCACTCGACACAGGTGTGACTGCCATAACTAAGACGGTTGAAAAACTTGATCAACTCAAACCGCCGAATCCTTCTCCAACAGTTCACGACTCACAGCACACATTGCAATTACGCATTGATGGCATCGAAGAGTATACGGGAAACAGCATCAGTGATCACTTGGAATCAGAACAATGGGCTGCTGCCAACATTTTCAAACATCTTGATGTGACACCAACAATCACTGATGTTTCCAGGCTCGTAAAATTTGACAAAGATAAACTCAGACCACTTACGATGCTTGTGACTTAGAATAACTCTTGGGATGTCAGAAAACTTTTTAAAACTATTTACTGGAAATTCTCTAATCCTTCGCGCCTAAAAATTCGGTCGCTGAATTTGCTGTTAGATGGCAAACCTGTGGAGCACGAATTCTGGTTATAACGCCTATACAACAGAATTCCATTGCTAACGAGGACAACGACAAAGTGGCCACTGGAAGTAATTGACTATCAACATTGGATGTGCGTGTATTGTACACCCCGCAGCCTTCTATCTCAAAATGAACGACTTCTATTCTCATAAGCTGTTATGATTTGACTACCGCAAATTCTTGTTATATCGTAAGCTTAGCTTACTACCGACTATTCCGATGCTAAGTTGTATCTTCCGAACTATTTCTTTAACAGAAATGATCGAAAAGTAGACAAGATTTTCTAAACACGGAGTTCTTATAGGCATGCTTTCCAATCTTCAGAATGAGAGTGTTAACCTAGATGTTTTGGATTCTGACGACATCGTAGCATGTAGTGTTCACTTACTTTCTTTAGTCTATCTTGTTGTTAGTGTTGTTAGTTGTTGTTAGCCAACAGTCATTTTCGTTGGTCAACTGAGAAATAGGTAGCTTTCTGCAACTTTTTGATATCTGCCAAATCTGCTCGCGATATTTTTCTAGTTGGTGATACCAACATGCCAACAACTAATTTGTCATCGTTATACTCGACTGATTCACATGAGATGGACGTTCTGAGAACTCTCGATAAAATTCATTTGACACAGCTGGTGAACTTCAACACAACTTCAACCAGACTCAGTTATCTCCATCACGAGAAATTCAAATCAGTCTAGAATATTTCGGATCACTATCCCATCCGTGTGACGCTTCCAGGCCGCCAAGTCTTTTCTGACACCAAAGCAAATAAGCGCCTCAGTTACGCACGAGCTGAATACGACGCCCTTGTCGACCAAATCCAAACGTATCCGTTTATCGGTAAATGCTGATCAAATCCGAATACCCTACTAGAGGAATGGCATTTATGGCTTCGATCCCTTTTTTTTAAATGTAATCCTTTCAAAACTGATCATCACTGCCTCCTTGGGTGTCCACCGCGACCACACATCGCCTGAAGATGCTGAAAACTTGGAAATCCAAGTTTGAACGATCTCACCGCGACAGCGTGCGTCTAAAAATCCATAACTTGGAGAATCGAATTGAAGTTTCCTTGAATAATGATCAGTCTTGCTACGAAGGAAAACATGCCAGTTCACGCGACTTGAAGCTTCTTTTCAAATATTTCAAAATCTTCAGAAGTTCGTGTCTCACTCCACCTTAAACCCAATGGGGTAAAATTGCTTCGAGTCTCTCCGAACAGTGAGCTTTTTAATTCATTTTTCCACAGCGTCTTCACCCCAAAGTCAACTTAGCCAACAACAACCGAGTTAGTGGAACACGTGGTAACTGATTACGACATGCCACCTGCATAAATTACACAGATTCTTGCCAAGTAGGATATCACTAAATCATGTGGATCAGACGAGGTGCCACCGGTGCTTTTTAAGAAAGCTTCAAACGCTCTTTGCTTTTCTACTGGAAAACTTTTCTACAAATTAAACCAGACATGCATTTACCCAGATAAATGGAAATTTGGTAAAATTATCCCGTTGTTTAAAAAAGGCTCGAAGACGGATGTAACAAATTATAGACCGATTACCCTCCTCGACATCATATACAAAGTTTTTGAAAAATGTATTTATGACGAACTTTACGCGCATGTCAGAAGTCGGATCCCTCGGTGTCAGTTTGGTTTCCAGAAACGACGCTCTTCTAATATCCAACTTTTATGCTGATTGACACAGTATACTGATTGACAAAGTCAAAAAAAATTGGTGTTGGTGGCCGCCTACTCAAAATCATCACCAATTATCTTACAAATAGAAAACATTTTGTAAAAATCGGTTCGTTTAAATCGACATTTCTCTCAGTTACAAGGTTCCGCAAGGTTCACTACTTGGTCCACTTTTGTTCCTAATTTATGCACTGGACATGGCTAATGGTTTGAAATCCGGTCCGTATATGCTCGCTGATGACACAAAGCTACTCAACTTAAGACAAGATCGATCTTCATCATTTCTTCAACCAGATCCTGCAGTTCTCGAGAAGTGGTGTATTCAGAACATAATGTTCTTCCATATCGATAAATGTCACTATATATCGTTTCACAAAAGTGCTGAAAACCCTGAGCTCAAACTAGCCGTCACAGACTAATTAATGGTCACATCAGAAAAAGATATTGGTATATTGATATCTGGAAACCTGAAGTGGTCCGAAAATATCGATGTAGTTTGTAGAAAAGCGAACAGGGTATTATCTATGATAAAAAGAAATTCAGCGTAAAACCTTCTATGCCAACAAAAACTAAACCTCTACAAGTCTATGGTTTTGCCGATTATAACATATGGGAGCAAAGTCTGGTAGCTAAGCAAAACCGATCGACGAATACTCGAGCAAATGAAACGCAGAGCCAGCAATTGGATTTTAAACTTCCCGGCCGTTTCTTACAAAGACCGTCTTCAAGCTCTGAATATTTAACCTTTATCTATGCACCCACAGATTTTTGACGTTTTAACACTCAGTTGAATTTTAGATGGAAAATACGATGCTACTTGGGAAGCTTATCTTACACCCTACCATCAGTCATTGTACCCAACCAAAACCTCGATTCGCAAACTGTTTGATTTGCCGAATGTCCGACTAAACGTTTTAAGTGGAAATTTCTGGCTGAGAACTGCTCGACTGTGCAACATTATTCACAGCCACGTTAACGTTCTGGAGGTCACCGGCTTGAAAGGGCGACTCTTACGCTTTTTTCGGAATTTTTTGATAGATTTTACGAAGTTTAGAGACCATGTACTTGGACTTATGAGTGTACTTGTCACGCTTGCCGGGAAACTCACTCTATTTGGCTTTATTTTATATGATCACTCCCTGCGGGTAAACGCGAAATAAAATCATAATAATATAATTAAAAGCAGGGGCGGATTTAGGGGGGGCGGAGGCCCCCCCCCCCTCCCTCAGGGATTCGACCCCCTGCCGACCCAAAGGGTCCCCCCTTTGATACTTTTTCAGAAATCCATTTTTGGCGGACCGACCCTAAAATTTTTCTAAAGGCGCCAATATATACTAACTTTGAGGGGGAGCGCGCGCCAAAAAAAACGCAATTTTTTTGTCAAAATTTTTCAAAAAGTGCCCAAAAACGGCTTTTTTGGCTGTTTTTTCAAAAATTTTTGCCTGCGGTGCAGAAAATTTTGCCAAAATAGGGGCAAAACAGTGCTTTGGGGGAGCTCGAAAAATCAATTTGGTCGACCTAAAAAAAAAGGTCGTCAAAATGTTGGAAAATTTTTCGAAAATCCGCCCCCCTCGAGAAAATCCTAGATCCACCCCTGATTAAAAGGCCTCAAAAAGTGGCACATATACCAATTTTTCTACAGTACAGGTTTCCAGATTAATAAAATTGTTCATAGTAATTGAGTAACATTGACCGTTTCAACTCACCGTTAGACAAGGGAATGTTTGATTGCTGCAAGAATAACTCGAGAGATTTAGCTTTGAGGAACTCGGCGTGGATGGGAGAGAACTTCGGGTAGTATCCATTGGATAAAATCTTTCCGTCTGATATCACATTGGGGATACTTTCAACCGTCTGACAGGCTATGTCTTCTCTCTGAAGAGATGGAGTTGGGGTTGTACTATTACAAGTATCCTCGGTGTGAATAGGACCACATCCATTGGAGGCTACCTTACTTTCCTCTGAATTGCAGAGGAAAACTTCGCTGACTTCAGATGCTTTTTCTGAAAATGGTTCATTACATTAACTAGGACTACTCGAATCAGTCTTGAACCAAGAAATTTTGCACTGCCTTTAACTCTTCTTAAGTACCTAAAGTGTTTCTGGTTTGAAAAAAAAATCTTTCAATGAGGATAGCCGGATAAGGATAGAGCACATTTTTTTGTTTATTCGAATTGAACTGTCAAAACTTATTCGGATCATCAAAATTTGACTTGATAAACGAACTCCATAACTAGCAAAAAATCATCCTCACTGTCTTCCTAGTGTGAACAGTAATTAAACAAGCAATTATAACTATACTTTTGCAATTGATCTGATCTCAACGAATCGGGAAAGCAATTTAACTTTCGGATTTCATTTATCGTGATTTGATGTAGGTTCGAATAATACAAGAGCCAAAAAACTGACAGTAAATACAAATCAAATCTACGAACTAAAAAATTAAATCAAATGAAAAATACGGAAAATCTTACTATTTGATGACCAAATGGGCTCTTCTGCATTTGATAACTTGGCATTCAGCTTCTTTTTTGTACAAGCACAACCCATTAAAAGTACACGTTCAGTTGCAAGTATTTTATTTGCTTTTCATGCGTCAAAAAATTAGTTATTTTCATTCAAACGGTTAGAATTGAGTAAGGATGCGCAACAGATGCTTGAAGCGAACTATGAAAACAAAAAATTTGATGTGGCATTGTAATGCAAAGCTCAGCTACTTCTCAATTCTTCCTAGCAAATAAAAATTTCCAGCAAAACAAGTTGGAAATGTACCAGCAAACTTATTCAGCGAGCAAAAGTGTATCCATAGTCAAAATGATTTTATTTCAAACAAGAGACAGTTATCTAGATTACTATTAATTGACTAAATTTACCATGCGTCCAAGTGATTTTTGCACAAAACTCCCACAAACAACCGATCTTCAAACAACACCCCTCATAAACGTAACCATGTTATGATTTATCCGCATGTTTTTCAAAAGAAAATATAAAAGTTGAAAAACGAAAATCGCATCACTTGTGATACAGAACAAGGCAAATCAACAAATTCTCCAGACACTTAGGAAATCGGGGAAATATGGAATAGGATTATTATAACTAGCAGAGGGGAAAGCTCGCTCCAAGATCAGGCTATTTTTAAACAGCTTTCGGGAAAGAATAACTTTTTCATCACCGGTGTTTAACGCTCAATTTTTTCTCATTTATAAACGAGATCGTCACAAATTATCATGGTAACCGAAGTTACTTCACAAGTCCTTCGTCATTCCACCCAATCCAAAACTCAAGGCAAACAACTGCAGAAATATGTCTAACTAACTTAACTGAAACTGTGGGGGAAACCCCTTGCGTACGCTAAATTCGTATTATTATTATTATTAAATAAGTAACGTATAACGCGAAGAAAAGTAAAGAGTCAGATAGTCGGGAAACAAGCCAATCAGATTGAAAATCATATCACATGCACAGAAAAAAGGATGAGAGAACCTATATTCTATGAAATAGAAGATGAAAGAACCTCGTATAAATTGACCGGATATGAGGCTCCGGGTCTATCAGATACTTAAAGTAAGTTACTCGTTCATTCCCTTGGCTCTACAAACAAAAAAATTTCTTCGAAAGTAGTTCTATAATTAATATTGCCGAGTACATTGCGAGGAGATTTTCTGCTTAAAAAAACAACTTGCCCTGGTTCCCTTGGTACATATGCTCAACGCGTACCATCAAAAAAGCTTAAGGCAAAAACCCCAAAGGAGCGTAAAAACCAGTTCAAAAAATAACACAGATACTAAGGGGTTGTGTCTGGCCGGACTGATTGTGACTGTTAGTGACAAATGGCCGACCTCTTTGGTCACCAGGGAGCACACGAACAGTCTGCACTGCTGTTACTCTACCGACTCAAGAGTGCCGCTGCTACTCATCACACTACAGCTGTCGTCTGTCTTCGGCTCAGAGAAGGCATCCTTCGAGTATGACATTTCAATGTGGGATGAGTAGAGGAGACTCTCTTGGTACATGTGCTCAAGGCTTACCATCAAAAAAAAAGCTCAAGGCAAAACCCCCAAAGGAGCGTAAAACTTGGTGCTCTAAATAACTCTTTGTTTCGCCTTATACATTTTTCCACTCAAGAATCCGAATTCTTTCCCCCAATCTAAACGCTAATTTTAGTGCTAATATGTTTTGTAAAGATGATATTCCTTTTTCTTTTTATGGTAATTAAATTTTCAGTTTATTGCTCGCTCAGCTAATTTATATATTCACCATAAATTAACCCCCTCGCTGCCAAATTATGGCCGATCAAACGCACTGCCATATTTGCAAACGCCACCTCCGAAAAGGAGGCATATGGTGTGTCATTTGCAAAGCTTACATCCATGTCTCATGTAGCGGGCTACAGATCAGCAAATTTTATTACGATGGATTCTCCTGCATACAATGCACTGCTGAGAACTTTGCAAAAGGTCCCAATTCCACCAACAGACCAACAAGCACAGCCCCCATCACAACTCAAAAAGAAACATCACCGGCAACACCTAAAACAAACGTACTGCCCGACGCAACACAATCTTATCCATCGCCCCCAGCAATCACTACAGCCCCCTTCGACTCCTGGAAACTTATCGACCAAGAACTTGAAATTAAAATAAATGACATATAAAAATGTCGTTAACTGGAAACCGCGCTTCATAGTTCTAAGCAAGAACAAGACCGGTTTCCAATTCATAGAATTACTGAACCAGCAGCTGTTGTCATTAGTAGAGAAAACACCAAATTCTAACGTCGCAATGAAAGCAGCAATGATTCTCCCACATCTGCTGCTCCCCAAAACTAAATCAGAAACAAACGGATCAAATTCCAAAACACTGAGCCGCCGCATAATTTTATGGAAGCAAGGCCTATTAGACAAACTTTTCACTGAATCGAAAGCTCTCCAAATTAGACATCCAAAACAGGAGAAGTCCGAAGTAAACAAGGAAGTTAAGCAATTCGATAAACTAATGAGTACAGGCAAAATATCTGCCGCCATTGGCTGCCTTTCAGACAAGAAAACAAAAGGAGTACTTCCCCTAAACTAAGTCTTTGAAGGAAAAACAGTCCTTAAAATCCTGAGAGAAAAACACCCTCAAGCCAAAATAGCGAACACTAACTATATATAATTGAAGTAAGTGTAGACAATGCCATACCACCCCTCTATATTCGAACAAATAAACGCCATGACAGTTCGAAAATCAACCCTGAAAACGCACGGAAGCCACAGTCCCTCAGGTCTAGATGCGTGGGAATGGAGAAGGATATTAACTCACTTCAACCAGACATCCATTGAGTTTTGCAAAACAATTGCTAAACTATCCTATACAATAGCAAGTAAAGTTCTCCCCCATGAAAACCTAACGGCGTACAACTCGTGTTTCCTGATACCTCTGGAAAAAATCCAGGGGTACGGCCCATTGGTATCAGCGAAGTTCTGAGAAGAATAATTGGCAAAACAATCACCCAATGTATAAAATCAGACCTTAAAAATCTCGGAAAAAATTTCCAACTCTGCTTAGGCCAAAAGTGTGGAATCGAATACGCTATCCACAGCTTGAGTAACGAGTATGAGAAACCGGAAACGGACGCCATACTACTTATTGATGCAGAAAATGCCTTCAACTCGCTCAATAGAGGACTTGCTCTAGAAAATGGAGAAATCCTTTGTCAGGCACTACATCATGCGCTGGCCAACTCATATAAACATCCCTCAAACCTATATGTCTATTAACACGGTTTTGACATCTACCGAAGGCACAACGCAAGGTGATCCTCTCGCAATGGCTATCCACTGATTGGGCTCCTGCAAAAACCAAATGTCACCCAAAAATGCTACGCAGATGATGGAGGCGCTGCAGGTGATCTTAAGAGTCTCCGCGCAAAACTGGACAACCTGATGTGCACGGAAAGGCTTTCGGATACATTGTGAAGCCTTCCAAGTCTCAACTCATAGAAAAGGAAAACCGTCGTGACAGCGCCTTAAAAGTATTCGAAGACAAATATTACAATGGTAGACGGTTTTAGAGTCCTTGGATAGGTTATAGGAACACCATCAGCATGCGATAAATACATGGAAAGCGAAATTGAAAAGACAGCTACCCTAACTGAAAAGCTTTCCAAAATAGCTAAAACATCACCACAAAATGCGTACTCCTGCTACACAAAGGGAGTTCAAAATAAATTAAGCTTTCTAACCAGAACAACTCCGGAAGCATTTAAGAAAATGGACGAAATTGAGTAAAACGTAAGACAGCATCTACTTCCTAGTATTACTGGTAAAAACCATGTAACAGATGAAGATCGCAACCTTTTTGCACTACCAATAATAACGAGAGGATTAGACCTCCTCAGTAACACGGTTTTTTCCAGAAATTATGAATGGTCACAAGCCATTTGTGATCCGTTAGAAAACAGTGATCCAGAAATAGCTGAAACGGAACAAACTCTGATAAATAGAAACATCAAAACTGAGAGACAGAACATCACACTCTCAAAAAAGGCTAAAATTATGGAAAATTGCTCATCAGAAAAAAAACTGACAATAAATCTAGCGTCACAGAAAGGAGCATCGAACTGGCTAAGCGTGCTACCCTTAAAAAATACAATTTTTCCCTCAACACATCAGAGTTTAAAGATGGATTACATCTGAGATATGGATGGGAACCACCAAACACCCCACATACATGCCCATGTGGACAACCGTTCACACTGACCCACTCTCTACACTGTCCCAAAGGTGGATAAACTCACCTCAGACATAATGAAATTCGCGATACCTTTGCGACACTCCTGGACGAAGTATGCCATGATGTTGAAATAGAGCCGAAACTTCAATCGTTGGAAGGCGAAAGCTTTCACACCAAAACAACCACTACTGAAGATGACGCTCGACTTGACATCAAGGCAAGTGGACTCTGGGGAGGCCGATTCAGCCGAACCTTTTTCGATGTAAAAATTTTCAACCCCCATGCTAAATCCTGCCCTAAAACTATATCTGACGCCTACAAATATCGTGAGTGTCAAAACATTTAAATGCCAACAAAGAATTCTGGATGTGGAACACAGCAGCTTTGTTCCACTAATTTTTGCGAGTACCGGAGGAGCAGCACCAGGCTCTAAAAAAACTCCAGAAACTAGCAGAGAAACTAAGCGAAAAACGGAACGAATCATACTCGGACACAATAAACTTTATAAGAACAAAAATAAGTTTTGCACTTCTGAGGAGTGCAATCCTCTGCCTTAGGGGGTGCAAAAACCTTAAAAATTCATCCAACATAGACAATTCTATCTGTGCTATAATCGAGGAGGGTACATTTTAATTGACATTTCTCTTGATGCATTAATATCGACTTGATTTATTCATAAAATTTTGCCGATGTATTTATATAGCGTTGGTACGGCTCTATCCAATCAGTGCACGTACCGTCGCATGACGGAAGCGCCCATTTTATTTGACCTTTTTTATGAGGGGGGGGGGGGGGGAGGACGCGCTGTTAGGGGTTGCAGTTGCAGACTGAGATCAAAGCAGAGCTCAGTCTGCAACTAAGCAAAGCTTTGTATAAATAAACTATTTAATCAGAATTCGACTTAATTCGGAAATCAAACTTTCTTCTCCAAAATGAAAAATTTACCGGGAGTAGTTTTTACAGGTAAAATTGA